AAAGCTACCCGCAGTGGAGCTTGGTCCACTTGGTTGTGTCGAAGAGCTTAGGCGGCAAGAAGTTCGCATCGACTCCCCTGGCGAGCATCAGCGCCCGTCTCCCTGCAGCACCAACGTCGATCCCGCCGCATGCCATGTACTCACTGAACAGCCGCGAAAGTGGGTAGCTCCCACGATGAAACCGTCTGGTGCTAGACGACCTTGGCATGCTAACACGCTTTGGTCTGTATCCTCTCGAAAACAATAGCTTCGTTGACGCAAGAGCCCCATGTTTCGAAACATTACCAGAATAGCTACTAGCGCAAAGTATCCAACGCCATGAGCTTGCCTGGCGAGAGAGTCCATCATGCTCCATCACCCAGCCTCCGAGTATAAGATGCACTGGCTCGACCTCGATTACACACCACCAACATTCATCACTTTCGCTTCTCATCTTGAGTTCTCCCACTACCTCTCTCTTTATCTCTCGTACTATCTTGCCTTTGTGCAGAGCACCACCATTCGCTTTACATTCGATTCTCAGTAATCCAATCTACGACACTCGGTCAACACTAATCGGCTCCCTGCCTTCTTTCGACAATCTTTTTCACTAGGCTCTCTCGATTTTACTATCCAAATAAGCAACAATGAAGTACGCTTACATTCTCACTCTCGTGACCGTCGTCACTGCTCTTCCCCGCCCTCAATATGGCGCGGCTCCTCCTTCCAAGCCTCAGCCCTCTGTGCCTATGTCGACTGGCATCTCGGGAGGCTACCCTACCATGCCTGGCCCGAACGGCCCTGGTTACGGAAGCCCTGGAGGTTCCCCTTCGTCGCCTGGCAAGCCTGGCAACGGTCCTACTGGCGGTGCTGGTTCTCCTGGCAAGCCAGAGGGCGACAAGCCTGAAGGAGACAAGCCTGGCAACGGTCCTACCGGCGGTGCTGGTTCTCCTGGCAAGCCAGAGGGCGACAAGCCTGAAGGTGACAAGCCTGGCAACGGTCCTACTGGCGGTGCTGGTTCTCCTGGCAAGCCAGAGGGCGACAAGCCTGAAGGAGACAAGCCCGGCAATGGCCCTACCGGCGGCGCTGGCTCTCCTCCCCCCAACACTCCCAGCAGTGGCACTTCTCCTGACAAGCCCAACAATGGTCCTACTGGTAGCGCTGGATCTCCCCCCACCCCCGGTACCCCCAGCAGCGGTCCTTCCTATGGAGATTCTCCCTCTGGAGGCTACTCCGGAGGTGAATCCGGAGGCCTGGGCTTGGGACTTCCTGGTGTAGGTGGTATCGGCGCCGGCATCTGGGGTGGCAAGGGCGGCCTTGGTGACCTTGGTGCTGGTGTCGGTGGCCTCCTTGGCGGCGGCGCTCACGGCGGTGTTGGCGGCTCAGGCGGTCTCGGCGGCGGAATCTTTGGCGGAGCCAGTGGAGGTGCAGGTGCTGGTATCGGTGGCCTCGGCGGTCTCGGTGCTGGTGTTGGCGGCCTCGTTGGCGGTGGCGCTGGCCTTGGTGGCGGAATCCTCGGAGGCGCCAAGGGCGGAGCTGGCGCTGGCATTGGCGGCATTGGTGGTGTCGGTGCTGGTGTCGGTGGCAACGCCGGAGCTGGTGTCGGCGGATCTGTCGGCGGCGGCGCTGGTGTAGGTGGCGGCGCTGGTGTTGGAGGATCTGTTGGCGGAGGTGCCCACGGTGGTGCTGGTCTTGGTGCTGGCATCCTCGGTGGTCCTCTCGCCGGTGCTACCAGCATCGGCAGCGGAATCCTCGGTGGTGGAATCCTCGGAGGCGCCAAGGGCGGAGCTGGCGCTGGCATTGGCGGTATCGGAGCCGGTGTTGGTGGCGGTGCCCAGGGCGGTGTTGGTGCTGGCGTTGGCGGCATTGGTGCCGGCGTTGGCGGAGGTGCTCACGGCGGTGTTGGCGCTGGTGTCGGTGGCATTGGTGCCGGCGTTGGCGGAGGTGCTCACGGCGGTGTTGGCGCTGGTGTTGGCGGTATCGGAGCCGGTGTTGGTGGCAACGCTGGAGCTGGTGTCGGTGGCATTGGAGGCGTCGGTGCTGGTGTCGGTGGCAACGCTGGAGCTGGTGTCGGCGGCATTGGCGGTGTTGGTGCTGGTGTCGGTGGCGGTGCTCACGGCGGTGCTGGTGCCGGCATTGGAGGCATTGGAGGCGTTGGTGCTGGCGTTGGCGCATCCGTTGGCGGTGGTGTTGGCGGATCTGTCGGCGGCGGTGCTCACGGCGGTGCTGGTGCTGGTGTCGGCGGCATTGGCGGTGTTGGTGCTGGTGTCGGTGGCAACGCCGGAGCTGGTGTTGGCGGATCTGTCGGCGGTGGTGCCCACGGCGGCGTTGGTGCCGGTGTTGGCGGCATTGGAGGCGTTGGTGCCGGTGTCGGTGGCAACGCCGGTGCTGGTGTTGGCGGATCTGTCGGCGGTGGTGCCCACGGTGGAGCTGGAGCTGGTGTTGGTGGAAATGCCGGAGCTGGTGCCGATGTCGGTGGCGGTGCCAACGGTGGCGCCAACGGTGGTGACGATGAGTACCCTACTCGCTAAGTGGACGGCTGATTGACGAGAGTGTTGACTTGTACATTATGGATTACTCCTCTACGCGTTACGCATTTTAATCTAAATCTCTTACCTATCTTTAACATCATCTCTCAATACCCTTGACGAACAGTCCAGTGGCTGCCTATCTGCCTTGCTCTTGTTGTTCCCGAAACATAACTAAAAATCTAATTAGCTTTAGTATCAAACAGCAGAATCATCGACTAAGCCCTCGATGGATAGAGTCAAGTCTGTATATGAAACGAATCGTCAATTGTTCTGCACACGTCGACGTAATACTCTTGATGGACCTGTTTGAAAGTTGAACGTCTCTTATTTTTGTGTACCATAAAATGCAACTCAAACCTTTCCCATAACGCCGTCATGTATCATGCACTGACCCTTACCGTATCTATCCTACCCATCGTCTGGCGCTCTTGAACATGCGAGACCAAGGTCCCAGTTCGCCCCAAGCCTCCGTATCCTTCGGGATGTAGCTTGCGACCTCTTTTAGAATAGTTCGCTCAGGGTGCGGCATGAGTGCTAGCACGCGTCCATCTGTGCTTCTCACACCAGTGATGCCCATTGGCGACCCGTTGGGGTTGTAGGGGTACTCTTCAGTCTGCTTTCCGTAGTTGTCGACATAGCGAAGAGAGACAAGGTTCTCGTTGTATAGCGTTTGCGGGCTCGACGGCGAAGAGACCGAGGCCGAGAAATGAGCGCGACCTTCGCCGTGCGCTGTAACAATGGGAAGCTTAGAGCCGGCCATGCCGTGAAGGAAGACGGATGGCGGAGTGTTGGGTCCCTTGGGATCGAGCACCTCGACCATACAGACACGCGCTTCGTATTGCTCAGACGCGTTGCGCTCGAAGCTTGGCCACAGCTGCGCACCAGGAATCAGCTCTTTGAGCTTACTCAAGAACTGGCAGCCGTTGCAGACACCGAGCGCAAAGGTGTCGGCGCGCGTGAAGAAGTCCTGGAATTCCTTACGTGTGTTGGGGTGCAGGAGCACGGATTTGGCCCAACCTTGACCTGCGCCAAGTACGTCGCCATACGAGAACCCACCGCACGCTGCAAGGCCTACAAAGCCTGCAAGCGACACACGGCCCGTGATGATATCGGTCATATGTACGTCGATAGCGGAGAAGCCAGCTTGGTGGAAAGCGAATGCCATCTCAGCCTGGCCATTCACACCTTCTTCTCTAAGAATAGCCACACGAGGCTTGGCCGTGAAAGGCGACTTGAGGTTGGACATCAAAGGCATGATGTTCTCAGAGGGCTTGAATGTCAGGTTGTACGAAAGACCCGGGTTCTTGTCGTCGAGGATGCTGTTGAATTCGGCGTCAGCACAGACAGGGTTGTCGCGGAGTTTCTGCATGCGATACGACGTCTCGGCCCAGCGTTGCTGGAGCTTCTGCCGAGTGTTACGGTAGACATTTTGTGTGCCAACGTAGAAAGAAATGTTTTGCTTCGAAGCTTCGGGTACGCGTCCGATCTTCTTGATCATGCCTGGTGGTGGTCCGCAGGTAGCGAAGCAGCGGTTGAAAGCAGTCTCATCCTGCTTCCTGACCTGGAAGACAGCTCCCAGCTCTTCGTTGAACAGCGCCTCCAAAACGTCCTTGGGCTCGCTTGACGCCGCAACGCCATCCAGCATGACTTCAATGCCACATCGTCCAGCAAATGCCATCTCGACAAGCGTCGTGAAGAGACCACCGTCGGATCTGTCGTGGTAGGCGAGGACGATTCCAGCTTCGTGGAGTTGTTCGATGGCGTCAAAGTAGTCCTTGATGATGTCGGCGTCATAGACGTCAGGCGCCTCGTCGCCGACCTGACCGAACGTCTGAGCCAAAGCAGAGCCACCAAGATGCTTCTTGCCGGCCGCCAGATCGACAAACATGATAGTCGTCTCACCAACACTCTCGAAACGCTGCAAGGCAGGCGTCCATGTGCGGTCGATGCGGTCGACAGGTGCGAAGGCTGTGATGACCAAAGACATGGGTGCTGTGACCTCCTTTGCCTGGCCATCTTCTGACCATTTCATCTTCATGCTCATCGAGTCTTTTCCAACGGGAATGGAGATGCCCAGTCTGGGGCAAAGATCCATGCCAATGGCTTCGACTGCCTCATACAAGGCTGCACCCTCACCAGGGTGGCTGCTTGCTGACATCCAGTTGGCTGAAAGCCTGACCCTGGAAAGCCTGTCGAAGAGACTGGCTGCCGCAATGTTCATGAGAGATTCCACCACAGCCATCCTTGCGGATGCTGCTGGAGAGATGAGCGCAAGAGTGGGCTTCTCTCCCATGGCCATGGCCTCGCCTGTCTTAACCCCGGCAAGCAGTGATGTAGCCGTTACAGAGACATCGGCTACTGGCACCTGCCATTTGCCAACCATCTGGTCGCGGACCGTAAGACCACCGACAGTTCGGTCTCCAATGGTGATGAGGAATGATTTTGAGCCCACCGATGGCAGGGTAAGTACTCGATCAACGGCTTCGGCGACCAGGTCAGCCTTGGGTGTGTCGGGGGTGTACATAGAGAGGGTACTGTCAAAGGCTGGCAGTCTCAGCTTTCGGCTCTCGACAATGCGCGACATCTTGGGAGGCTTTCCGAATAGCGTAGACATGGGAAGATCAATGGGAGTCGGGTTCTCTTTCGAGTCCCTGTCCTTCAGGATAAGGCGCTGCTCTTTCGTGGCCTTGCCGACGACCGAGTAGCCACAGCGTTCTCGGTTGCAGATGCGCTTGAAGAGGTCCAACTGATCGGGGGCGACTGCTAGTACGTATCGCTCTTGTGCCTCGCAGCACCAGATTTGCAGTGGGCTCATGCTCTTGTCCGCACTGTCCACCTCGCGTAGCTCAAAGATGGCACCGAGACCAGAGTCATGGACAAGCTCAGGGAGTGCATTCGAGAGACCACCGGCGCCCACGTCGTGGATGAAGAGAATGGGGTTCTTGTCGCCCATGGAACGGCAAGTGTCGATAACTTCCTGTGCCCGCCTCTGCACTTCCGGGTTGCCTCTCTGCACACTAGCAAAGTCGAGATCGACCTTGCCTTCGCCAGACTGAATGCTGGAGGCTGCGCCACCACCGAGACCAATGAGCATCGCAGGACCACCGATGACGAGAAGATGAGAGCCTTCGGGCACGATGTCCGGGTCCTTGAGCGCGTGCTGAGGCCTGACTGTGCCGACGCCACCTGCCAGCATGATGGGCTTGTGGTATCCTCGAATCTCCGACTCCTTCTCGTTTGTGAAGACACGCATGAGCATGGTGCGGAAATAGCCAGTAGTGCATGGGCGACCGAATTCGTTGTTGAACTGCGCACTGCCAATGGGAGCCTCGAGCATAATGTCGCGACTGCTGGCAATGTGCGCAGGCTTTCCGACATCCTTGAGCTCCCATGGTCTTTCGAAGCCCTCGATGTTGAGGTCGGAGACAGTGAAGCCGGCGAGACCGGCCTTTGGCTTGGAACCACGCCCAACAGCGCCCTCGTCTCTGATTTCACCCCCAGATCCGGTGGCTGCCCCAGGAAATGGGGACACGGCAGTTGGGTGGTTGTGTGTCTCGACCTTGCAGAGGATGTGCACAGTCTCCTTGGTGCCGGCCCACTCGCCCGTGAGGTCGTTGGGTGCCCAGAAGCTCGCCTCCTCGCCCTGCAGCACAGCAGCGTTGTCGCTGTATGCACTGACAACGTGCTGGGGGTTCTTCTGGTGCGTGTTCCGGATCATGCCAAACAGCGACATGGACTTGTGCATGCCGTCGACGGTGAAGTCGGCATTGAACTGCTTGTGTCTGCAGTGCTCCGAGTTGACTTGGGCAAACATGAACAGTTCGACGTCTACAGGCCCTCTCTTCAGCTCCTGCGTGTATGCCTCGACCAGGTAGTCGATCTCTGACTTGTCCATGGCGAGCCCCAGCTCGCGGTTGGCGTGCTCCAGCGCAGCATGGGCGCTGTTGTACTCGTCGAAGCTGATGGTGGTTGCCTGCGCAGGCTCGCCCTCGCCGAAGATGTCGTTGAGGTTGGGCGCAGCGCGGCTGATGGTCTGCGTCATGCGGTCGTACAGCTGGTCGCGTTGGGGGATCTCGTCGGCCGCGAGGGTGCGCTCAAAGGTGGCTGCGATGACCATGCCACGCTCGATTCGCTTCACTGCCTGGTCGAGGGTGCATGTGCGCGCAATCATCGAGGCCAGCGAGCTCCATGGCGAAATTGTGCCGGCGCGTGGGCAGACGTAGAAGAGCACCGTGTCGGCATCACGAGGCTCGCCGCCACGGTGGAGTGCGTCGAGGAGCGTCTGCGAGAGGCGGTCGTCGTAGTCGGGGTATTCGCCGTAGTGCAGAATCTGCTGCAGCGTCTTCAACTCGTCGTCGGCCAGCTCCCTCAGCGGATTGACAAAGTGCACCCACAGCGAGCGCACCTGCTTCGCGCCGATTGCTTGCGCCAGGCGCTGCAGGCGGAAGTCGGAGTGGGCGGCCGAGCCTGGGAGAATGAGGTACGGATCCTCGTTCGACGCCATTGTGAGCGACGCCTAATTGGAAGTCTGTGGTCGGTATCGCGGGGTGTCCGAAGACAGGAGCGATGGTGTTGCGGGCGCGTCGTCACATGGCGGGGTGCAAGACCTCCCAAAAATTTCGGCGGGGCAAAATCGCGACGCCGCCATTGGGCTGCACCGCGTCGCTCGCGCTACTTGCTCTCTATCCTGGCGCCTTTGCCAGAGCGACACTAGGCTCGACACTTGCTCGTCTGCATATTGGAAATTGAGACTGTGGGATGACGGGCCATGGCCATGGCCACCAGGCGGAGTTGCTGCAGAATAGTAGGTGAGGGGCATGGCGTAGTACGGCCTGAGTCGCCCCTCCATCGAGACAGCCATATCATGACATCATCTCTGCCCTCACAAAAATATCTATACATACTAAGTAACAGTCGCAGGCATATGTTCGGACAGAGGGCAGTGCGGCTATCGCAGCTCTGTCCGGTATGTGGGCTCATTTGCGCTCACCACACACTCGATTAAACAGAAACTCCTTGGCCAATCCGAGCTCGGCCCGAAACGGGAAAACCACCCAGCGCATGGCTATCCGATGTATTAAGGGTGAGCCCATGGAGAAGTGTGGAGTATGCCTTTCACGCCAAGCCAAGATAACCATACGGGGCTATTGCTATCCTGCTACACTCGTCTATAGCCGTGCTCTCTTGGCAAGCTTCTACACCATCTACAGCCATGAGTGCTGTGACATGCTAATGTCACCACAGTCTTTGCAGGCAATCCATGTCTCAAAAACAATCTAGATGCACTCCTACCCCCTTCTCCTTGGCCAGCTCCATGAGAGCTTGCCCAATGGCAATATCCATGACCCCCACGCCAACACTCTTGTACACCACAAACCCGTCCTTTAACCACGTTTTGACAGCCTCATCTTCCCTCAATGCATCTATCCGGCCCACCTCTAGCAGTTTCTCCGTCGCAATCTCTGCTTTGATCAGCTCTCCCGCTTCGTCCATGCATCCCTTGATGCTGTCAACAGTGATGGAGGCGTTGTAGACTTGCGACGCAAAGGGCCCAGAAGGATCCGTTAATTGACCAAGCAACGCAGGATCGAGTTCCTGCATATCGAGACGGTACGACCCGATTGCAGAGATGAAGCGCGGTTTGCTTGCTTCCGATGCAAGGTACGACGCCGGGAACAAAGGCGTAGTGCTGGGAGTAGTGCAGAACATGACATCGGCATCCTTGACCAAACCTTCGAGCGCATTCTCCTTTTGCTCAAAAACTTCAATCCGGATATACGAAGCGACTCCTGCTTTTGCCAGTGATTCGACCAGCTCGTTGGCTCGTGCCGGCGACCGGTTCACAATGGTGATTTTTCTAATGTCGTTGCCCTTGAGGAGAACCGCCAGTCGAATATGCCACTCGGCCTGCTTCCCCGCTCCAAACACGACAATGTGTTCTGTAGATTTTCTGTACCGGTACAACAGCATGCTGCCCAGCGCTGTGCGGAAAGCCGTCAGCTCTGCCGCATTCAGCACACCGAGAGCCTGGCCGAACTCATCGCAGATTGTGAGGACGCTCTTGAGCGCAGGCTTGGGCTTCTCCCCTGGAGGCGGGGCTTGAGATGGTGCGACGCCAACAATCTTGATGCCGATGGACGACGGCGTCGTGGCAGGCATGAATAGGCTGACTTGGCCATTTGGTCGGGTGACATGAGCGCGATGTGGCTGGTAGGGGACTTCATCATTACACGAGTATCGCGTGAGTGCTTGGTTGAGTCTTGAGGTCAGATTCTCCACGTCGGCCGGGGTAAGGCTGGACAGCAGGGTAGAAACATCAGTGTCAGAAAGCGCGGTAAACGGCATTATGCTGGTGCTGGAGAGGAATACGGCCCGATTTGAGCAGCGTAGCGGCGTAGTGGTGGTACTGGTGGTGTTCAATCTAGTAGGCAAAGAAATGCACGGTGTATTGCTTGTTTTGTTTCTTTATCTATCGCTAATATTGGGTAGGATTGTATCCCTGTTCCGATGTCGGTATTGGCTATCATGTCTAGGGCTGATGTTGGCGGGGAATGCGCGGGGATACTTAAGACAAAGGCATTTACCGGCCATCGTCGGTCCGCAGTAGGCTCGATGCCCTCCACATGGCCTACGGGGGTTGGAAATAGGCACGTTAGATTAGTGGATGCGGTAATAAGGACAATTGACGCCCACCATCGTATAAACCATATCAAGCGCAGTTTCAAAACAGGGTGTTTATATAAGTACATACTTGGGGTTGTTGTGAGTAATCATCGGATTTGAGGGTTGCCGTGCGGTAGTGTGAAAGAGGCACGTCATGCATGTCTCTGAGCGACTTTCAAACTGATGGTCCTGTAAGAAATTGCTGTTGCAATCGGAGGATGACTATAGGGAGTGCGGCAAGGCAGAAGACGATGCTGCTTACTTTGCAGGCTGAGATGCACGTCCTGTCTATACCTACGTCATGTACCTGTTCCAAACGGCCGTATAGGATAGGGGCTACGAGCCGTCTCCTTTGCGCACTCTTGTCTTGCTGCGAGAGTTGCTTCCAAAACACGTACATAGATACATGGATACATAGATACATGGCGCGTCGATAACGCGCTCGTGGTGTCGCTGCTCCGCGCAGCCGCTTCGGGAATAGGCAGCGTTTGGGCCTAGCGAGGGTTGCCTGATGCTCAACACCACCCGACTCCTGATGAACTCGTAACGAACCCGCCGCGCCCATCTTGGCTTCGTCTGCCACCAGCCCCGCCTTGGCACCAAGTGTGCTCCCTGCAGTGAACAATGTCGTCCGGCATGCACTCCCCCGAGCACAGTGCTGCGGCTCTGTCCCCAGCACCCGCCGCAAGTAAGCCACAACGCGTGCTCTCCTGTGTGCTGTGCGCCCAACGGAAGGTCAAATGCGACCGCAAGTCTCCATGTTCAAACTGCGCCAAAGCGGGCGCTCAGTGTCTGTCGGGTGCAGCCGTTCCCCGTCAGAGGCGCCGCAGGTTCCCCGAGCGAGAGTTGCTGGAACGCCTCCGCCATTACGAAGGCCTCTTGAGCAAAAACAACATTCCCTTCGAGCCGCTGCATGCCCCTCAAACGCGCGAATCTTCCAAGACAAACTCTCCAAATGAAGAGCACACAGGCGCCGATCGAGGCAATGAGATAGCCAAGCGCACGGCTGAGCCGTCACGCCCAGCTCCAGCGCCTACCGAGACCACGCAAGCCAAGTATGTAACCTCCTTATGAACAAGTACGTCATGATTAACTTTCTCAGGAGTTTCTGGCGTGCCATGGATCCCAAGGTGAGGCGCCTCCTGTTCTTGCCGCCATCTCACTGACCCACGTCAAGTTCCAGTACCCATATAACGGCGAGAGCCAGGGAAGCGACGACGAATCGGACGAGACTGACCGTGAAGACCACGTTCTTCAGCCACGCAGTGTCGTCAAAGCGTGGGACGAGCTCTTCAACTGGGGAATGTACCGTAGCGAGCATCTCTTGTTCTGCTCACGTGCCGCCGGAGTAGAGCTTTCGACCCTCCATCCAAGCCAGGCACAAATATTCAAACTCTGGCAATCTTACTTGGAAAACATAGACCCCATTCTGAAACTGACGCATACACCTACTCTTCAAGCGCGCATCATCGATGCTGCTAGCGATGTGACAAAGATCGAACCCAACTTGGAAGCCCTCATGTTCGGCATATACTGCGTTACCATCAATAGTCTGGACCAAGATGAATGCCGCGCCGTGTTCGGCGTATCGAGAATAGATGCCATCAGAGGCTATCAGCTGGGGGCGCGCGAGGCGTTGCTCAATTGTGGGTTCCTGAAATCTAGCAACCGAGAATGCTTGACAGCCCTCCACCTATATCTAGTGAGTTGTACAACGTTGGTAATGCATACGAGCCAGCTAATGAGCCACTTCAGATATCACTCAAGCCAGAAACTGACCCCCGCGCGCTGTCGTGTATGCTGAGCACTGCAGTTCGCATTGCTCAACGAATCGGCATCGACTCGGAGGTTATGAATGCCAGGCACTCCGCTCTTGAGGCCGAGCTAGTATGCAGTGGAAGCTCCATTGTCTGTTCTTGCTGACTTTGTATAGCGGCGTCGATTGTGGTGGTCCCTTGTTCTTTTTGACAGTCGTATTGCGGAAATGACAGATTTCAAGACTGCTACGTTGATACCCACGTGGGACTGCCAGACCCCGCGGAGCGTCAACGATTTCAGCCTGCGGAACGAAATGAAGACTCCACCGGCCGAGTCGAGCACTACGTCAGAAGCATTGTTCGCCGTGGTGCGTAGCAAGCTCGGTGACTTCACCCGGCATAGTCCTTCTCATTTGGACTTTGTCAACCCCGTCATGAAATATATTGTGAGGAAGCCACCAGGTGACTCTTGCTCGGAACTTGAAGATATTGCAAAATTCGAGTCCATGCTAGAGAGCAAATATCTCTCGCAATGCGACCCGCAGATTCCTCTGCACTATATGACCATCTGGTGGGTTCGTGTTTTCTTGGCAAAGACCCGGTTCGGACACTACTTGGCAACCAGGCTAGCCGGCCCTGAGCATGAAAACAGCGAGCAGCGCGACACCGGTCTTGCACTTGCTCGCACCATGCTGGATAGCGACACCATGTTGATGAGATCTGATCTCATCAAAGGTTTCCGGTGGCTCATCTACCTACATTTCCCCTTCCCAGCCTACATCCACTTGGTCCAAGATCTGAAACAACGGCCGCTGTCAGACCACGCGGACCTTGCTTGGCAAGCCATGAGCGACAATTGCTCTGCTCGCTTCTTAGACATCTATGCAAAGGGGAACCCGTACGACACGCGATTCAAACATCCTTTCTTTGCAATGTTCTCAGGGTTGGTGCTCCAGGCGTGGACTGCGCGCGCCGCAGTGGCGCCACACGCCGAGCCGCCCTTGATTATAACGCAGATCAAGCAAAGATTAGCTTCTGTGATGGAGCAAGAAACACAATTGGCGGGTGAGGCCGTGGGCTCTGATAACGGCATCTCATACACGTCCGAGTCTATGGATCTTGGTAACATGGGCCTCCATTACAGCGCGACAGACCCATTTCCCGTTGCACCTGTGCAGGTTCCCACAAGCTTCAACGGGATGCAGTGGTCTTGGCCCGTACCGAATTGGGGCGCGATGCCGGAGCAAAGTTGGTGAATTTACAGTTGCAGGCTTAAATGTGACTGTGTCTTACGAGAGCACCTTGGGAAATTTTCTACGCAGGCTCGCTCCTTTCCATCTGCTGGGTCGACCGATTGTTGCTACCGATCCCGCCGACCATCCTGATCTACGCGATCGTAACTCGAGTCAGGCTTCCGATGTTCCGACAATTTGAACGACGATACATGGACTGATTTCTATTTTCCAACTCTTGGACTAATCTTGGCAAAAAAGTTAATCTCTCTGATTCCCCTGGCGTGGCGCCTTGTAAACATGATAAGATTTATCTTTCAGTCAAAGCTGCGTTGTCCGAAAGAGCTTCGGGGCATAACTTTGAAAATATAGCTCGAGCTACCTGGGTCTTTTCCAAGGCTGTGCGGACAGCTTCCCCATGTGCTCATGCAGTGGGGACAGGGGCAATAATCTGACAGTGGGTTTTCAATTGCCGTTCTCCATGTAGACATCATCACCCTGATGAGCGCAGGGATGAAATCGAAAATAGCCTTGGCGTTTCAAAAGAAAAAAGGATACTAGGGTTGGCGTGCCGCCTAACAGCATCGCGACAGCGTCAAGGTGACGACGTGCACACTGTATAGCGGCTACAGCTACACTGCTGATACGCGAGCAGCCCCTCTCGTCTACTCACCCAGCGTTATGGTAATTGACAGCACCAATCGGCAACGTCCCACGGCGCTGCTTCGGCGCGTACACCACCACCGCACCTCTAGTGGCAGCTTAGAAATAGGGGGTAAGGTTTCTTGCCGCTAGTTAAAAATCCTAGCATTACTAACCACTTAATTTTAGTAAAGCCGCTATACTAATAAGCTCGATTATATCATATACTACTACGCTAGCTCTACTTTTACCCTGAGTTTAAATTACTTAATTTTATTCTTACGTAAGATTCTTCTGATATAATCAAACTCTATACTTAGAATAGAAACTCTATCCTTACGGAGGTGACTGTCAAAAGTTCTTGCTGACAGGGGTGCATTGATTACCGCCGAAAATAGGGCCGAAGCTATGTAGATCGGTCCCGCCGCCCCTCTTTGTACTCATTGCCACCTTCAAGTTTAATAATTTCTTAAATATAAAACGGAATACGCTCTATCCAAGCTTGAATTTAGTGTTGAGGTAGCTCATCCCAGTACTGTTGCCATACTTTTGTCCCTTCCGCCCGACTTTTTGGTGCGCCTCTTCGTGTTGTTTTTCTTTTGAGCCATGGCCAGGCTGCTTCAATAGCGTTAAGAATCAGGTGAATTGCCTGGCCATGGGAGCTGCTCCACCTCAGCGTTTCGGTATATAGTTCTTTGAGCGTGGTGGGTATGCGAAGGTGCCTTATCTTCTTGAACAAAGACACGTGGTCTCTCTTTTTGGCACTCCTTTGCGAAGGGAATTAGCTTTGGGATAAGAACTTGAGTCTGGTAACGCCACCAATCAATGCCACCACGACTGCTCTCACGAGCTAGCTTACCCGTCTCTTTTACCCATCTCCATTGTGGAACTCTGCCAGGCTTGTTACGTAATCCAAGCCTCTTTATGCCTGTTGTAAGCTCCCACGCCTCTCTCATGAGAGGCTCTAGAGCCTTATTCAACTCTTCAATCTGGAGAGCGGCGTCTCTCTTCTCCTGCGCAGTCTCAGGCCTCCAGACATGGCAAGGACCTTTGTAGTCGTACGTGAAGCAGCCCCAGAACATAAATTCAGAGTAGCCCTTCCACCGCTCTCGGATAACACTTTTGGTAAGACTTCATCCAGGCGTCGCCACACACGATAGCCACCGCGACGGTGGTTAAGAACAACAGAAGTCTCATCTGACCAAATAACGTTCTTCCAATCTTCAAGTGTCCAATCTTTATAGGCAAGACACCACTCAAGTCTTTCTTGTCTCATCTTCGTCGTCAACCCAGGCTTCCTCGTCGGCTTCATCTTGTTGTAACCAGCTGCTCGAAGGACTCTCCATACGGTGGACGACGAGACGTTGTAGCCGTGAACACTAAGATCACCAGCAATATCAGCGCAGCTCTTCTCTCTCCCATACCTATCGCGGCGTACGTTCTTAAGAGTAGCGTCGTGTATTTCTTCTTGTTTACGAGGGCGGCCTGCGCGCGGGGCATCTTCGAGGTACTACGAAAGGATCTTAATTAGGCGTGCGTTAGGCTCAAAGCCTCGCTGGCAGGCTCTACCATAAATTGAGTCGATCGTACGCGGCGATATGCCTGTCATTTCTGCGATTTCGCGTGTAGATTTGCCACCAAAAGGTGACTTCAATGCAACAATAAAAGAGCGGATCGATATATCCGTATTTGGAGCCATGGTAGATCAAAAACACTCAAAAAAAATGAGTATACAAGCTATCGCCAGCTTCAAAAAATTGGTGTGGGCGCCAAGAATAGTCGGGCCGATAGGCTGGCGGCTTAGCGTGGCGCTAGCAAGAACTTTTGACAGTCACCTCCGTATTTACTAGTGTAATAGTAGCTTATTATATCATTATAAATAGAGCTTACTAGATATAGCTATATAAAGCTGGAATGATATAGTAATCTAGTAACTTAGTACAAGTTGTATTAACTATAAGTAAAAATAAAGTTTGCCAAACTATAGTAGAAAGGAAAATAGAATTAAGTGATACAAGTTGTAAGTGAGAAAAAAAGTTAAGTTAACTATACTATTTATAAGTATACTTAGGTAGAGTTAAGTATAAGATACTTAATATTTTCTAGTAAATTATAAAAAAGAAGAAGTATTACTTTTATAAAGATTGATATACTTAAATAGGCTATTATTATATACTAATTGTTAGGAACTACGTTCCTAGCCACAGGAGGAGGCTTAGTTAGGAGCCCCCTAGCTAGACTGGCGAATGGGTCTCCACCTCGGGATCTCTTTTTCCACAATAGCTCTCCAGGTACTAGGCCTAATTAGGCAATGAATTGCTTATTTTATAGCCCTTATCAAGATCTATAACTTACTAGTGTAAAGTAAGACACTAGCTACAATAGATAATAAGTTATACCCCTTCGGGCTAGCATGTGGAGACCCAAGTCTTGGCAAGGTAGGTAGGCTAATAACCTTTTACCTATTATAGCTAGCGTCTTACTTTATACTAGTAAGCTGAAGATCTTAATAAGGGTTATGAAATAAGCAGTTAATTGCCTAATTAGGCCTAGTACCTGGAGAGCTATTGTGGAAAAAGAGATCCCGAGGTGTAGATCTATTTGCCACGCTAGTTCTCATAGCTTAATTTTAAGGTATATAGTTATAATAAGTTGTACTATTAATAGAGTTTTAAGAATAGAGTAACTTATATACTCTTTCTTATTATAAATCTTACATAACTTTTAAAATTATATACATCTTTTACTACTTATACTATCAACTTGGAAGCTTTATTCTATTTGTAAAACTTATAAAGTATAATCTAAGTGATAGTATTATATAGTATAAGTATTTTAGTTTATTCTAGTTTATTTATAAATTTAAGACAGAACTAATGTAAAGTAATTTTATTTTAATTTGTTATTACTCATAATAACCTAAAAAACTATTAATTTTGATTATAATTAAAGCTAGTTTCTTATATATAATCTTACTAGAGAGTAACCTTATAAAAATACTAATTTGTAATCTCTAACATAGTATACTAAAACCTATGGCTAAGTTATAAAGTATATAAAGCAAACAATTACTAAGCTTTTCTTTTAAACTATAAACGACTTCTCTTATTAAAAACTAATAGAATCTAATATAAAAGGGAAAAACTATTTCTTCTATCTCTTAATCAATCAATATTATTTCAAAAATTCCTATCATTTTTACTAGATATTTTTCTTAATATACGAGTCTTTTTATATATAGTAGATAACTTTTATGATATAAAAAATTAATTCTATAAAAACGATATTTTTTAGTTCTAATAAAGTTCTTTATATATCTTACTATATAGTATACAATCTTTTAAGTAATACTAGCGCTTTACGAAAAGAAGTATATAGTCTAACTAGAGCCACAGAAAGTAACTTTACCCCCTATGCGCGAATTGTGCGTAGGATTGTTATTCTTGAGGCACAGCCACTGGCATGACTCTAGGAAGGTCCGGCCTGCCAGTCATAGTATCGACACTAGCCCAGCTAGGGGTTTCGGCCCGCTACCGTTGACAGTCGACCCTTGTAATTTGCTCTTAAAGGTTTTTAGTGCTATTTAACGAAAGTAAAGTAATGGCTTACGGACGATCGCCTACAGGGTAGCTATTCGCGAGCAGTGCCATTCTCATTCTTCCTTTGCCCATTCGGAAGCTTGGTCAATAGCCCTTCCGTTCCATGTCTCACCACTAGCCACTGCTCAGGTCTAGTGATGGCGGCGTTCGAGTATTGAATCGGGAGGCCGGATGTCAGACGTATATAGGATGTTGGCGCCCCAAACTCGGACGGCTTCTCCAGGCGCTGTACTCTATATTGACATTCAGGATGCAGGTCCAAAATCTTCTTGCAGTGCTTTCTGCAGCCATTCTTTTCCAATCTACTAATGCTCTTAATGCGTGCCCCGGCACAGACACAGTCTTTACTGGTAAAAAAGGCGTCAGGTACCGAATATGTCCTGCAACTGACCTCACTGGACCTACGTCAAAGGTGACGCGGAACATCGCTTCCGCCACGGCATGTGCACAGCTCTGCGACCAGGATGCTGAGTGCTTCAAAGCCGTTTACGACACACAGACCAAGAATTGTCACTTCAAGGAAATCACTGGCTTGGACTGGGTTGACAGCGCTCGCTTCCAAACCATCCAGGCCGAACAAATCAACATTGCTCGCTGTCCTGCCAACGAAGGAACCTACCACAGGAACAGGGTAAGTTTATGAGTGGCTTTTGGAAGCAGTGCCATATGTTAACACGATGTGCCAGAAACAATACAGCGTCTGCCCGGGTACGAATCTCCGCGGACCAACGGAGAAGCTTATCCCACGAGTCCAGAGCTTTGAACAATGTGCATACTTGTGCGCCAGCAGGACTACGTGCAAAGCAGCAGTATACGATTCAGCCGAGTCTGCATGCCATATCAAAGCCGATGCGCGTTCCAACATGTTGATCTGGTCTACCGACAAGCGCTTCGATGTGATGCAACTTATCGAGCCAAAGGTCCCTGCAAGGGATGGACAATGGTCGGATCTCATCCGCCTCCCAGTAATTCCCGTCGCCGCCTACATTGTTCCTGAATTCCCAGTCTCGAACCGACTCCTGGTTTTCTCCAGTTGGGGCGCAGATGCCTTTGGCGGCGCTGGTGGATATACACAGTTTGCCGATTACAACTTTCACACGTAGGTTTCATGTAGAACTCGAGGCACCAAATTATGCTGACGATTTTGCAGTGGAGCCGTCTCCGCTCGTACAGTGAGCAACACTCACCACGATATGTTCTGCCCTGGTATGAGCCGTCTTCAGGATGGACGACTTGTGATCCAAGGCGGATCAGATGCATCCACCGTTAGCGATTACCATCCAGACACAAACACCTTTACGCGTGGCCCCGACATGTATGTTGTCGCTAGCAATATCTCTACCCATGTGCTAACTCGTCCAGGAAAATGGCTCGTGGTTACCAATCAGCCTGCACCACATCGGACAACCGCATCTTCACCATTGGAGGCGCATACTCCGGTCCGCGTATGGGCAAGAACGGCGAGGTCTTTGATCCTGTTACCAACGCATGGACTGCTCTCCCCGGCGCGAATGTGACGCCGATGCTCACCACCGACCACGAGGGTATCTGGCGTGAAGACAACCACGCATGGCTCTTTGGCTGGAAGAACAAGTCAGTGTTCCAAGCTGGCCCCAGCAAGAACATGAACTGGTATGGAACAACTGGCACGGGAGCCCAAAAGGCAGCTGGTACACGCGACACTGTCGATGCCATGTGCGGTATTTTTGCCATGTACGATGCGACTGCTGGAAAGATCTTGACCGCTGGTGGTTCTCAGGACTACACCGACTCCAACGCCTACACCAGCGCCCACCTTATAACTATCGGCGAGCCCAACACGCCCGCCCAGGTCGAGCGTGCCCCTGACATGACGTACGCCCGTGGTTTCGCCAATGCCGCCATCCTGCCTGATGGCACTATCTTTGTCAGCGGTGGACAGCGCCGCTCCAAGGTCTTCACCGACGACGACGGCGCTCTGTTCCCCGAGCTCTTCAACCCAGTGACCAAGAAGTGGACTGTACTCGCCCCCCAGGCCGTCCCCCGCAACTACCACTCGACCAGCATCCTGCTTTCAGATGGCCGAGTCTTCACCGGCGGTGGTGGTCTCTGCTGGGTTGCAGGTATAGGCCGCAGCTCTGCCAACTGCAACAAGCTGGTGGACCACCGCGACGGCCAAATCTTCTCTCCACCCTACCTCTTCAACCAGGACGGCTCCGCCGCCGCCCGCCCGGTCATCGCCTGGCTCAGCGCCCAGAAAGTCAAGGTCGGCGGCCAGCTTACCGTGCAGCTCCAAAGCGCCAGCGCCGGTGCTTCCCTGGTCCTCATGCGCATCGGCAGCGCCACCCACTCCGTCAACACCGACCAGCGCCGCGTCCCCCTTAAAAACGTCAGAGTCAACGGCAACACTTACACCGCTACCCTCCCCGCCGACAGCGGAATCCTCATCCCAGGCTCCTACTACGTCTTTGTTGTTTCCAAGACAGGAACACCCAGCATAGCGCAAACACTGCAGGTTGTTCTTCCATAAACGCCCTTCCCTTCTTATCTACCCAACGTTCCAAACCATATACTTGCAGAGACGAAGATACGCTACGCCACCTACCTTTTTTTTTATTTTCCGGTTTTGATTCTACCTCGCCTGGATGTCACACAAACCCACGCTCGCTGCGCCCGCCCGCCCTCGGAACACACTCACTCACTCACTCACTCACTCACTATACTCAACTTTTTCCTACGTTCCCTACATACATTACTTTTCAAACTCGGTCTCAGATCCAGGTCGCGTAAACGCGTACTCTTCTGCAAGTTCATTTCGGTTTTGGAAACGCTGGGAGGGGTATATATATGTGGTTAGTTAGTTGGTAATGTTAATTGTATTATTACTGTCCATGCCATGTTGCTTCATATACTGTATTTCCGCTGTGCTGTGAGTGTACTTTGTGTCTCGCGATATGCCACGCCCCATTTAAGCATATACCATTGCTCCATGCATCTACCTTATTTTCCTAGCAAGCCATGTAACACAGCATGCTACTCCATGTCCAACGTGTCTCCAGCCCCCCCCCCCCAGCATACCGTTTCCCCCCTTCCTCCCGCAGCGTACTTGCACCATGGAATAATGCGGGTAATACAGGCAAGCGGCGAGTAGATACAAGATTCCGCGCATCATTAGACGCACATGCGTATACGGAGATGGCCTTTTTTTTCTTTTTCTCTCTTTCCAATTGACTACTTACTTACTTTACCTCAAGTCTCGTCTCATGACGTCTTCATCATATGGCCAAACTGTAGCGTTCTCCCATCCATGTCCATCCATCCTGGAAGCTTTTTACTCTATCTGTCTCGCTCTCACTCTCAACCTCACTCGTGCACGCAATCCCATTCACTTTATTCAGTTCCCAGTGTTCCAGCGTCATCTAGTTATCCAGTTTCATCCAGCTAGTCTCCAGACAAAATACCAGATACACATCCAAGATCCGTACGTAAGTACGCCATTCGCTCGACGCGAAAAGCAGCTAGCTAGCTAGGTAGGTAGGTAGGTAGGTAAAGCGAGGGCAGTTCAAACTTCAATGTAGCCAAACACGTACACGTGAGGCGGAAATCAACGATAGCAATTTATTTCATGTTTTTTTTTTCATGCTAGCATAGTGTAATGTTCATGAAAGCTTGAGCTCCAGCTCGAGGGGATAAGGAGTTGAATACCAGCGGGCATGTTGGACGTAGAATCATCACGAGTGGGGAGAAATGGCGTACGTACTTATTTCCACACTGTACATACATACGTAGCTAGCTGCACTTTGTGGGTCACAATCACACAAACAATACACGTGAAGATATACTGTTATTGCTGTTGTTGTTGTTGTTTTTTTTTCTCTCGAGTTTCCTATTTCAGGAATTTTTTTTTCTGTTTGTTTACGGCTACAGAGATGGATGATTGTCTAATTTATATCACCAGTTGCACTACAACGACGGAAAAGAAAAAAAAACCCCCTCCCTCCCGCTGCTTACCCCCAGGTAGAAAGGCGAGTTTCCCTTGATACAACACACACACACACACACACACACATGTGGGGGTTGAGCCCCGAAAAAAGAAAAAGAAAAAGAAGAATCGAAATAAAAACCTCCCGAGAAAAGTAGAAGAGGAGAAGAGGAAAAGAAAAAAAGTAGGGAAATTCATAAACGACAAACACAAGGATTTGTGTGTCCCCCAAGGGGTAAAACTCCGAGTCGACGGAACGAAACGAACGAAACGAAATGGACGCCTTAACACGCACCTATCCTATCCACTCCAGCTTTCGAAAAAGAAAAAGAAAAAGAAAAAAGATATATGTGCAAAAGAAGAAGAAGGAGGAACCCGTTTCAACGGTCGTTCGGTTCGGTTCGGAAGAAAAGAAAAAGGGGGGTTAGCAGAAAATAAGAAAGCTGAACATGGCTGCTTTTCGGTTGTGCCAATGACAGCGGCAGCATGCGTGCGTCAAGACACATGGAACCGCGTTCAGTCAGCCAGTCAGCCAGCCCAGTCAGCCAGCCAGTCAGTCAGTCAGAGAGCCAGCCAGAAAAAAGAAAAGAAAGAAAAAGAAAGAAACCAAGCACAGCACATGAGAACTGTTGCTTGTCCAAAAAAACCGGTTTTGTCTCTGAGTGTGTCAAAGTGTGATGATGTGTATACCCTTCACGCTCACGCTCACGCTCACGCAAAACAGCTATCTCAACACAGCAAAATCCATTTCTTTTTCTTCTTTCTTTCTTTCTTTCTTTCTTTCTTTCTTTCTTTAAGATTTAATCCTCTCTCCAAGCACAGAACATGAGAGAGTATATATGCGTGTGGGAGAGAGGAGATCAAGGCTTCGCCTGCTCCTTGGCCATCTTCTTAACCGGATGCAGCAAGATACCCGGCATGCACATGCGGCGCTGTTCCAAGGCACCATCGTTACCGGGCCCGCCGTCGACGCGCTCCGACTCGCCCCAGTTCTGCTTGACCATGGGCCAGTTGAGCCAGCGGCGGTACAGGTTGCGTGGGAAGCGCGAGGCGTAGTACCAGCTCCAACCTTGGAAGTTGTACTCGCGGTCGTGGTTGTAGGGCGAGTCGCCTTCTTCGGTCCATGCGCCTTGGCGGGCTTCGAGCGCCTCGCCCGTCTCCTCATTGACTGTGTTGGCCGTGTCGAAAATGGCTTCCGTGTAGGCGGCGGGCCAGTGGCGATCCGTGAAGATGGGGTGGGGTGCATAGACGGCTTTGAGGCCGTGCTGGAGCGCGACCGTCGACGGCCACATCTCAGCCTGCATGCTGCGGCCGACCAGGTTCTCTTCGTGCATGGCCTGAAGCATTCTCTTGCTGAATCTCACAACCGTGTTGATAAATGTGCGGCGGTCGATTTGCTCAAAGTCGGGATGCGTGAACCAATCGGCCTGGCCGTCTTCGGGGGTGAAAATGGGCCGGACGCCGGGGAGGTAGTTCCAGATCTTGTCCTTGTACGACCACGTGGTATTGCGCGGATCCCACATGGGAAGCAGGGTGATGAAGTCGGCAGGCTCAGCAACACCCCACTGAAAGTTGTCTTCCTCCATGGTCGTGGGCGGCTTGGGTCCAAGGGGCTTTTGCGGGGGGTCAGCTCGTGCCCAGGGGCGTGGTCCCCAGACGGGCGGTGGGATGAGCGAATGGGCAGATGCATTGAGCACATCCTTGTGCGTGTTCTCGACAAACGACTGGTAATCGCCATGGATGCTGGGGAGATAGTAGCGCTTGTTGCGCTCCCACAAGAGCTTCCGGGGCTGCTTGTCGGCAAACTCGCCAATCTTCTCAAAAAAGTGGTAGTGGTGTCCCGTATATCTCGCGTCGGTTTCCCAGTTCCAGATGTAGTCGAATTCGGGGTGTGTAAGACTGAACCATTGTAGACACATGAACTGCTGCCAATAAACTTGCCAGTCTCCAACATGGGGATACCACTTGGGAAAAATGGATTCGGACCATAAAATGGCAATTTCGCGCAGTTCCTCGGGCACGTTTTCGGTAAGTATGCGGTCGTATGTGTCTTGGTCGTCGAAGATGGGCAGATTCCGGTCCTTGACGTGCACGTACAGGAAGACCTGGTACTCGCCGCCAGACTGGAGCGAGAGCTCAGATACCATGGCGCGGATGGCGGTAATGTCGTTCTCCTCGTACTTGTAGCCGGTCCATGCGCGGATGAGCACGGCAGTGCGGTGGTGGTACTTCTTCTCGGGCTTGTCCCTGACCTCAATGTTGCTCCTGCTCGTGTCGGTCGGGATGGCAAAGGCAGACGAAGCAACGGCGGGCTCAGGCAAAACGGTGCTGGGAATCTTGACAACGGGAGATCTTGCCCCGGGCCGGAATCGCTCCTTGTTGCGGCTGAGGCAATCTTCCTGCAGCGCGCCCCAGTTTACTTCGGACCACTCGGGGACCAACTGGGGCGCTTTCCAGTTCTTGACCACCTCGGGGAACTCGTCGTCGCCGTACCCGTAGGGGCCATAGCGCGAATACCGGTCGAAGCAAACATCGTCATCCAGGCCAATGACGTCGTAGCCACCGGCATACACAGGGGGAAAGTCCTCGGGGACCCCGCGATAGACTTGAACTTCATCGTCGGTGCTCTCATTGAGCGGAATGCCGCGAGGGCCCAAGCAGGCCACATACTCGCCGTGCCACTTCTTCTTCCACCCAGGCGTGTTGTACTTGGGGAAGGGCTTGTAGGCAACTGGGTCAGAGGCAATTGTATCATTCAGCTTGTCGTGTCCAGCGTCGTAGATGCGCCAGTCCCTGGGAGGTCAGCACTGATTTGCGTTTTGTGCGCATGCTACTTACATGTCAAAATGCTCCCAGCGATTTGGGTCGTAGGCCTTGTTGATGTAGTCCTTGAACGGCGGCCAGTGACCGTCCCAGCTCGGGCGGGGCCATTTGAGCATCTTCGTCATGTACTCCTTCAAGTTAGTAGGTCGCGGGGTGGGAGGCACGAATTCACCCGTCCTCGACGGCGCAGTGACCCATGGCGGGTACGCCTTTGTGGGCTGCGCCTCGGGCATGGGCTTGCGCGAAGCCTCCATGGGAGGCGGCAGGCGGTTTGGAGCAGCGCTGGTTGGCCTGTGTGTATGCTGGGCGGTTGGGTGTGGGCCAGGCATGGGCAGGGCATGTTGCCAGGCATCTTCAGCAGGAGGAGGGCCTTGCAGTTGCTGGTCTTTGTCACTGCTCTCGTGCAAAATCTCCTGCTCTGCCGGTCTCCTCTCCGAGTTGTACAGGCGAATGTTGTCATAGACTCTTTCTTGCGCCCACGGGTTCTGACGTAGCATGGCGCATATGAAAAGCAATGTGAGAAAAGAAAGCAGGACAATCCTGCGCGAAGTCCGGAGAATCATGATGTTGGTGTCGATGTTGGTCGTATGTATTTCGTGAAGTCGTAGTACTTAGTCCTGGCGGCACTAACCGATTGCGGTATCGTAGCTGGTGCAGAGTAGTAGTAGTAGTAGTAGTAGTAGTCGTAAAGCTCTACCGATGGCGAATAAGCTGCATGCCTGATGTTTGACGTAAAGACTGTCGTGTCAAGGCTACGCGACGGCGCTTTTTTTTCGTTTTTTGGGTGAGTGTTCCCAGGTGTCGCGTGTATGTATGCAAGCAGAGAAGCAATTGCAGGGGTGGAGGCAGCAGCGAGAGGAGAGAGAGAGAGAGAGAGAGAGATGGATATAGTACAAATCAAGTCTGCCGGGACCAAGACAAAGACGAGTAAGGCCGGGTGTGTCAACGACGTCGTTCCTGCCGTACGTGGGTCCGCCCAAGAAGCCAGTACTGGTGCGGCTAGAGAGAGAGAGACCAGGAGCGGAAAGAGCCGCGATATGAAATGCACTGGTGCAGAAGGGCCAAAAAGAGGGTGGATGGGCAAGAGAGCGATGGGGCGAGAGATAACAACAGAGCAGGCGGGCCCCAAGTCTAGGTTAAAGGGAAAAAGAAGAAGAAACGAGACAAGATCAACAGCCGCAGAAGAAGGCAAAGGGTAGGTGGGACGAGACGTGGATTGGAGGGAGAGGGATGGATGGATGGATGGATGGATGGGATGGGATGGGGGGGGGGAGCTAACCAACTAGTAGTAACTAGCAACCTCGATCCATAGCCATGGGGAGGCAGGGAATGAAATTGCAGCATCAAGACGCGCAAAACGGGCGCGCGCACCCATCAGTCTCAAACGGCAGTGCGCGGCCAGTGAAAGAGCGCCCGCCTCCTGGCAGTGGGATAAAAGTCTTGGCGCTTGGTTTTTTTTTTGCTTTCTCTCTCTTTCCTCCCCCGTCCGTCAGTTAATCGCTGGTCGTTGTCGGGGGGGGGGGTTGTGCGCGCGATCGGCATGGAGAGATGTGTGTAACGCGTCAGCAGCTTCATGGGAGATGGGGGGTGATTGCGCTTTTGGGTGCACGGGGCGGGCGGCGGTGCGACGGCTCTCTCTCTCTCTCTGTGTGTCTGTCTGTCTGTCTCTCTGTTTCTCTATTGCTCTGTTGTTTTTTTCTCTCTTCTCCCTCGGGGGTTGTGTCAAAGACCCATGGAGAAATGGAGTGTGGGTGGAGAGAGAGAGAGAGAGATGGATCGAGGGGGGGGGTGGGAAGGGGAGCGCGGATCGACCCTTGTTCCGTGTTTCGCAAGAGACAAAAATTAGAAGCAAGAGCTAAGTAATGTAATACCCTAATGCTCGTTGCAACAAGCATCCTGGAGCAAGGTGCGGGGAGGGGTAAGGCGCCCCGTCCGTCGCACCAATGCCCGCCACGCCACCTCAGTATCATGGAGCGAGAGCGAGCGAGCCAGCGAGCCAGCGAGACAGAGAGACAGAGAGAGAGAGGGAGACAGAGAGAGCAGGCTATGTTTCTCTCAAATTGCACGCCCGCCCTGCCGCGACACAACGAAGGGGGGAGGGGGGCAAATTGATTGATTGATTGGGTGGAGGCGCATGCCGCAAATTGAGCCGCTCCGCTGGCACACAATCACAATCATTTTGCTTGGTGCTGGTGCTGGTGCTGGTGCTGGTGCTGGGTGCGCGGCATAATTTAAGATAAGAAGAGCGCATCTTGGAGGGGGGAAGGAAGGGGGGGCGGTTTATTACCCACCTTGATTGACGGTCGTCGTTGGATATGTGTGTGTGTTTTTTTTTTGGCTGACATTACCATACGTAACCATAGTGCTACTTCGTAGTAGTTACACCTAGTATACGTACATGGAATATGCATATTCAGCCGATGCACGGGTATGCGAGCCTCCCCTGCCAGCCCGGCGCATGTGCATGCATGACAAAGCCGCCGCCGACCAGCGACCCAGCGAAACAGCAGACAGCAACCAGCAACCAGCAACCAGCAACCCGCAACCAGCCATCAGCGGCGGCCAAGCAAGCGGCAATAACGAGGCTGAAGGCACAGATAACGGGCGGCGCAATCCTCCCTTCTTCGGCCCTTCTGCCACGCCCAAACCCTCGTTTCACCGCAAACCCTTGGCCAATGGGTGACGTCGCCACCAACCACATGCAAATTGCACTACACACCTATGCATGCTCATTCATGGCCCTCACCACAATCATTCCATCTACTGTATTTCGCTACCACCACACGCTGCTATCTCGGCCACTGTCCTGCTGCCATGGCCCCGACTCATGTCGCGCCCCTCCCCCACTGCCCAGCTTTTTCCACACCGCAAGCCCACAAACTATGTAGTACATAACCCACAAACCACCCCCATCCCTCGCCGTACACCGCGTCTATCCATGCACTCTTATCCCATCCATGCTGCTGACCCCATCTTTCAGTCGGCCATGTGCTGCTGTACAGACCGACCGACACTCTTCACTTCCACTTCTGCACCACCACGCCACCACGCTTGAACTCGGAAATGTCTCCCAGCGCCAGGCCCTTGTCCGTCAGCTCCTTGTTGGGAAACGTCGTCATAAGCGCCCACTCGCGGCCCTGACTAGCCGTGCTGGCGCGCGTCACAAACTCATAGACGTCGCCGACCCTGTGCGTAGTGTTGAAGCGCGACGTTAGCCGTGTGCCGTCGCCCAGTCGAATCTGTAGCGTCACCGTCGGCGCCGATGCATCCACCTCGACCGTTGGTGGTGCAGAGCCCTCGGACGTCGGGCCTGCCGTGCCACTCGAACCTGCTGCTGCTGCTGCTGCTGTTGCTGCCATGGTCGCACCCGCTGCACTCGAGCCAGGCGTCGGGCTGCCCAGACGGTTGCCTGTGCCTGAAAAGGGAACATACTTCTTCTTTGGCTTTTTGTAGTCCTCGTCCTTGTGCGCGTGTACCTCGACATCCACCTCCTGCCCGTGTTCCACGTTCAAGATGTGCAGCGGCGCGTGCCCCGTGTTTATCATCTCCAGGGTGCGTGCGTTTGCCGGGTCGTCGTAGCGGAACAGGTCGCCGTCGTCCACCGAGAAGCCATCACGCCAGAGGTGAAGTTCGCGGTGAGCGCGCGGGGGCGGGGCGGGGATGTTGGCATTGGGGTCGGGCACAATGCGCGACGGAGCATCGTCGCCACCCAGCGTTGTGCCTGTGCCACGAAAGTACGAGCGGGCCGGCTGCTCGTCGTCCCCCCCAGGCCGGGGTGCGTTCCTGCATCTGTTAGCTGTCGTGATACGAGCAAGGCGGCGTGCCGACACCTACTGTCGCGCCCGCTTCAAGATGTTGTTGATCTGATCGCGGGGGTTGGCCTGGTTGGGGTTCTGCACCGCGAGCCCAGACTTCTCGCCGCCTGCAAAAAAGTCCTGGTTGTCGTCCTCGGGGTTGTCGTCCTCGTCGTCCTCGTCATGCGCATGTCCCGGGCCACTGCCTGATGACTGCAGGTCTCGTAGAGTCCTCGCACCAGCCACGCCCCGCTGTGCCGGCTGTCCGCGGCCAGCACCGCGCTGCGATGACGCTGACGACGCTGACGACGCTGACGACGCTGACGCTGCTCCAGCTGCAGATGAGGGAACATGTGCGCCTCCCAGCGTGCGCCCGCCGCCCGATGGCCGGGGAGCGTTGTTCTGGCTGGGGTCGGTGGTTGAATCGTCGCCGGCCATGTCTACGTCGGTCTCGGAAGAAGCGTCTTGCTGGTCGGCCGTCTGGTCAAAGAAGAGCGATGCAGCCAGTGTAATGTCTCCGTTGGAGGCGTTCAAGTAGCGTTCGGCCTGTTGACCATGTTAGTAAGGCGGTCGAGTAGCTTCGACGAGCTTCCACATGCCGTAGCAGCGTCCAGGCCGGTCAAACTCGCGAGCTGTGCAATCTGCGCGTCTCGCTCAGACATTACAGGTCGATGGCGTTGCTGTAGCGAGGAGAGGGGCAGCAGATGGATTGGTGTATGTAGCTCGTATGTAGGTCTGTATAGAGGCGTAGCTCAGGCGGGTAGCTCTGGCCGTGCGTGGGGCGCGGCTGCGGCCTTTCCTGAGCGGCCATTGGTGACGTCGCTTGACCTTCTCGACCTCACCAGCAGTGGCAGTGGCAGCAATGTGAATCTGAATCCGAATCCACCCCAGCAATCACAATTGCATGCAACTGAAACTGCCAGTCCCGTAGATAACCAGCACGCTGGAATTGTAAAAGAAAGAACAAAAGTATTACCAAGCTCTCTCTCTCTCTCTCTCTATCTCATCTAATTCACCGGGCCCGCAGCCCCTCAAACAACGGTGCATCAATGCCAAGACAGCGGAACGGCCTGAGCCTCAACCCGAACAAACCAAAAAAAACAAACACATGTGCAAGGGAACTTTTCGAGGCTTAACAGACGTGACCCCTTCCAATTGCACCACCATAACCTCCATCTCCCTTTTGCATCGTGGACCCCGTATTTAAGCCAGCGCGATAGCTTCGACCCTCGCGACGTTTCCAACACAGCAGATCAAAGGCAAATAGGGTCCCCCCCCCCACCCCGCTCCGCGTCAACCTCCGCGCGTGGGGCTAGCTACATCACCCACGCACCCACGCACCTCCTGCTTACCACGTCCCCATCTCAACGCAGCCAACACCACTGGGACAAAGCTCCTGCGCAAACCACCACACGTACCGCCACACCCCCCCCCCAAACAATGGCCTCGGAGCCCTCGCCCTCGCCGCCCGCGCCCCTCACCGCATCCGGCCTCACGATCCCGTCCGACAGCGAAAACTACGACGCTGACGCCAACGCCGACCTGTCGGCCTCCACGTCGTCGCCCGCCTCGAGCGCCTCGCCCCTGATTCTGTACCAGCCGCCGACGCTGTGGGGCCTGCTGCGCGGCGCAGCCATCAATCTGGTGCTGCCGTTTGTCAACGGCCTGATGCTGGGCTTTGGCGAGCTGGTTGCGAATGAAGCTGCGTATCGGCTGGGGTGGTCGGGGACAAAGGTATGGTATTCTACTTTCCACTTCATTTCTATTGCTTTTACATCGAGGCCAATGCATGGCATCTACGCAAGAGCTGGAAAGAGAGAAAAAAAAAGCTAACCACCATTTTTCCTTCACTCAGATATTCCCAAGCCACCGCTCAGCACCAGGCAGCACACGACGCGTGGGCCCAGGCGTCGAGATGCGCGCCGACCCCGTGGAGCGCAGGCGGCGAAACGGCCAGGAACTCGACATGTACACGGCACTAGAATGAAAGAGAGAAAGAAAGGAAGAAATTCCCCAAACCCGGTGGCATCCCTCTTGTTTTTTTTGTTCCCTTGCGGTGATAAGGTGTGGCAGCATGCAAGCAGGCAAGGCAAGGCAAGGCAAGGCAAGGCAAAAAGACCCCCAAAGTAAATATTAGACATCACAACAAACAAACAAACAAACAAACATACCCACAATCCCAAGATTTTCATTCCAGCAATGCAATAGATGATAGCCCAGTCCACCAGTTCTAGACGCGAGTTCTAGAACTAAGTATTTCCACATGCTTCAAGGAGCCATAGGCGTTTGAATATCTGTACATGATGAGACCGCTATACTACAAATAGGCCAAGGTTCCCAACCCTACCCCCCTCATGCCTGTTTTGTCACTCCCCCTGCGCTGCGACCCACACAGGACTAAAACTTCAGTCGTATCATACATACAACCCCCCGCCCCACACACACACATCGACACACGCTCAACTCAAATTCACTGCCGGTTCTCAAACCGGCGTCGGCGCTCAATCTCATAGTCTTCGGCCTTCCTCTTTCGCTTGGCCTCTTCAGGCGTCACCTTCTTGCCCGCGTATCCCATCTTCCTCGCCCACTGCTCCATGCTGTCGGTGCCCCGGCGCCACATGTAGCTAAGTCTGTAGTTTCGCCTGTAATAGTCCAGCTTGTCCATCAGCGGCTTGCCTGCAGCGCCCTCGTCAAAGTCAACGTCGCGGTCAGGTCGGCTGCGGTCAATCTTGGGCGCCTCGCGCTGGAGATGCGCAGGAATGCTGACTCCGGGCTTGATGTTGATGCCGGAAATGTGGCGGTGCGCGCCGGGGGCTTTGCGGATCGGAGTAGGTGGCTGGTAGCGGATTTTACCGTCGGGCCCCTTGATATCGCTCAACTTCAATTGTCCCTTGGTGACCTTGGTGTAGAGCTCGTTGCTCTGTTTGCTGGGGATGATGCGGATACCAATCATGCGTCTGAAGCCGTTTTGGCGCAGCAGCCAGCCCGTGAAACCGCCCAAAACACCAGACATCAAAAAGTAGAGCTGCAGAGCTGCAGCTTGGAAGGCCGTAACTGCACCAAGGAAAATCGCGAGACCAGTGAAAAGTTTTTGGCGCTGGGCCATTTGACCAACGTCATTTTGGACTCCAGTCTCACCTCCAGTCTGTTGGAAAGATTAGCTCCCTGCCCACAGTGACCAAAGCCCTCGACTTACCTTGAATACTGTGTACATGATAGCAGACGTGGCAACCGGTAAGATAAAGTATGGATCACGGGTAGTCAAGTCGGTGAACCACAAGAAACCATCGTGCTCCATGCCAGGCACCGGCAGCTCACCCATAGCTCTCAGGAACCTGAAAGCAGAAAATCCAATCCAACCCTGCATGACCATGAAGCCACCCATAGAAGCTATGCCTCCTACATAGGGCCTCATAACCTCTGCTTGTTGCATCCTGTATAGATCTACCTGCTGCTTGTCGCCCCGCGCAATAGCAGCCTCCATCTTTTCCTGTAGGGGCTTGGTTATAGGCGCCAAAGCCGACATGGCTGCCATCTTGTCGGAGCTAAGAGCCTGGAGGAAAAAGGTCGCGCAACGCACCACGACACCCGCAGCCATGATGGATCCAGCCCAGCCCCAGCCCGACTGCAGGTAGATTGTCTCGATGCAGTTTTCAAAAAGCGAAGTCATGCCCCAGCCATAGTCCAAGCCGAGCTCCTTCAGTTGTCCCGCGTGGTCAATCAGGCGAGTGGGATCGATTTCGGCAATGGGGAGTGTGTCCTTGACCGGTTCACTGCCAAACAACTCATCAAGCGTCTTCGCTTCGCCCATGGTAGAGGCCGTCTCCGCAGCAGCATCGGCTGGGACGGATGCCCCGTCCACAGCAGCAGCCTTGTCGATTGTAGCCGGGGCGATTTCGGGCGTAGCAGTGGTGACGGCGGGCTCTGCATGCTGCGCAAACTCGGAGGCGGGACGGTGTGAGAATTCGGCAATGGGGACTTGGTTGGAGGGCAGCGCGGAAGTGGCGTCGGCGGCTTTGCTAGAACTTCCCCAGCTCCACGGCGCATACCATGAAGCATAGCGAACAGATGAAGCGCCCAGCACAGCATTGTGAGAGCGGGCGGCGCCCGCCCTCCACTGTGCAGCCTGAACCGGGCTTGTTCGACATGACGATGCCGCGAGGCCAGCCGTGCGGGGGAGCGATGAGAACTGCTACAGTCAGCACCTTGGGACGCAAAGCTTGCAATGGGCGCAATTGCCGCTGGAGTGGCAACAAGGAATGAGTCTGGAGCATCAAGTCGTGTGCCTGGGCTAAGCGGGACGCGGAGGTGCAGACGGCACGCAGGCGGGTAATTGAACCATTGGGTATGCGCACCTTCCTTGCAGCAGTCGACCGGAGCGCTGCTGATTGTCGTGAGGCCAAGGGCGCGATTTGGGCAGGCCGCAGCCCTCTACTTGGAAGCATTGCGATGTGTCGTCCAGAGACAAGAGCGGTGCTGATGGCTCCAGCATCGCCTTCAGAAAAGTCGTGCACGGGCCAGCCATGACCTGCGCTGCCACACAAACCCCCGAGATCCCCGCATCACCACTTCATCGGCCAAGACACATGCACTCGCGGTTACAATGCGTGATTATCAATTCCTCGTTAACAGCACACAAATGAGCCTACTACACGCCTATCCTGGATATGTTGGTCGTTCCCTCAACACCGCATCTGAATGCCACCAGCAGAACCGAAGCTACCCTAACACCAAAATAACAGCTAACATGTCCGGGATATATCCTCAAAAATAATAAATAATCGCTGATGCAGAGAATGCAATCGTAGAAAGCGCACCGAGCCCCTGGTAACAAGCCCTTATTGTACAACGGCTCGGATGACAATGCCGGAACGCCGCCCTATTATGCGTCAAAGAAATCATGTCCTGTGCCAGGCGAAGGTCTATCGTCATTAGCGGAGCCCTACTCCTCAAAGTTGTTGCCTTCAGTAACAGCCAAGGCCTCTTCGGCCTGGCCACCGCCCATTTCCATTGCTTCGCCAAACATCTCGTTACCACTGACGGAGCTTTTAAACGGGTCTTGCATAGGACTAGTCGCACCAGCAGGCCCAGAGCTTTCAAAGAGGCCTGGGTCAATGGGCGCAATCGACGCCGCAGCACCAAAGCTGAGGGGGGCCGTGGTAGCAAATGTCGGCGAGTTGGTGTATGCCGACGTCGTAGGTGGGTTGAAGTACTCGTTGTCACCCTGGCTGGGGCGAGGCTCGCCGGGCGGCGTGTGCGACTGCTCAGCCGGTCCCTGTTGTATGTTGGATGGCTTGAGATCTTCCTTGCGTTTGGGTTGCTGCGTCTTGGGCCTTAGGTGCTGTGGGAGATCGTCTGGGTTGGTGATGCCCAGCTGGTTCATGAGCTTTTGCTGCTTCGTCGGCCGAGGCTTTCGTGTCGAGAGCGATACTTGGAGGATCGGCGGCGGCGTGGGTGCAACGGGCGCCCATTTGTGCAGTTCTTGGCGGAAGAAGTTGATCTCATTCGAAAGGAGGATCTCGGCGCCCTCGAGCTTCCGCAGATAGAATCGCTGTGTAGTGAGCTCGTCGGGGCTGGACATGAGTGGATTGATATACTGCGCCACATAGTCACGGAACTTGGTACCATGCTCAATCAGCGACTCCAGCGTCTCTTCTTCTTCAGGCTGGAACGGCAAGGTCGGAAGCTCGTCCTGCCATAGCTGCAAGTCCTCGAGCTTCGGACGAGTCGCGTCGCGCGGAATCTTGACGCGGTAGTCGCAAATCGGGCACGTGTACTTGTCGTCCTCCTTGACCTTTCCACGTGCAATCTTCAGGCACTTGCCATGGTACCTGTTGCTGTTAGCACATCGCTTCAACCTCTGGCCGACAACTTACCATTCGTGGCACAGTTCACATTCAATCATCATGCCAGCTTCAGGCTTGCGGCATATGCAAAACACATCGCGACTCGACCCGGAGCCATCAACCTCTTCTCCGTCTGCTGGACTCTGCTCGCGCGAGGCAGGCTCCACGGGCATACGGGGCTGGTCCGACAGGTCGAAACAAGCCCGGTTACGCTCATCTACCTGCTTCATGTGCGCGTGTAGAATGTGGAGTGGTGCATTGGCTTTGCCAAAGAGCTTCTTTCCCTTTCGCATCCAGTCTTCGTGACGCTTCTGCTCTTTCTCGAGGTCGCTGGTACCGGCTGGCTTGCAGTTGAGGGCGTTGAGTCCTTCCATGGCATTGCGTACTTCCATGTACTTTGGTCGTTGGCTAAAGTCGGGGTTCTTGCTTCGCTCGTACAGAGACATGATGAGCTCCTGCGCGTCACGCTGCTTTTTGAGAATGGCATCCATGGCAGCTCGCGTTTCTGGCGTTACGGGTAGGTTGGTGGCTTGCTTGGAGAAAGCATCGAGCTGCTGGTAGTGCACGTGTTCCACCTCCATGAGCTCCTTGGCCTTCTTCTCCCAGAACTCTCCTTGGGTCCGTTTGTCTTGCAAGAACTGAAGGTCAGGATGGTGCTCCGGCATGCCAACTTCGATACCGCTTTTGATAAGATCGCCGACTTCCTGCAGAGTGGGCGCGGGCTTGGTTTTGAACTCTTGCGCCTCTTGGAGCCATCTGAGCTGCTGCACAACCTTTTCAAGCGACTCGAGCTCGGGTAGATCGACACTGAAGCCTTTGCCTTCTTCGAGAAGCTCATCGAGTCGCGTGATGCTCTGCTCCACCGGCCGGTCACGCAAGGCAGTTCGCGCTCTGGTCTGGAATTCGACAATGCTTTCGGCGCGTTCTCGAAGCGTACTGATCTCTGGGCTGTCGAATCCCAAGTCTTTTGCCTGGTTCAAAAGTTTCTGGATGTTTTCGACGTTGCGGTATTCACGCTCCCTCTCATCTGCCTCTGCCATAGCCGACTTGCTTGGCCTTCCTCTTCCTGGGCGCTCGGCCTTACGGCGAGCCTGCAGCTTCCTGGTCGTGTAGAGGACCGCTTCATCGGCTACTTCTTGACATTTTTCGACAAAATCTCGGAGGTCCTGCAGGCCGTTCAAGTCCCAATCAATCTTCTCGCCTTCGTTCAGGAGCGCACGCAGAGACTTGAGCTGGGGGCGTGGACCCTCGGCAAGCAGGCTTTCCATCTTGGACTCCCAGACTTCCGGCGTGCTTGCTTTGTCAACGATCTTGTCGACCAGCGTAATAAGAGCATCCTTTTGCATGCGATATATGAGCAGGTGTTGACCTTTGGCACCAGAGTAACGCTCGGCTTCGGGAACATCTGAACAGCACTCGAACCATCCGGCATGCTGCAGGCACAAGACTTTCTTCGTGTTGCGGCAGTAGAAACGAGACAGATAGCCGTAGCACTTGCAAAACGCACATATTAGCTCATCTTCGTGCACGTCAGCATCATCAATGACAAAGTCAAGTTCACAGGGTGCGTCCGCGCCACTGCTGCCGTCGACTTTACAGCTGTGTTTTTTGGTGGCTTTGTGTTTTTCAAGAAAGTCTGCTCGTAAGCGCAATTCCCGGTCACGCATTCGCTCCATGGCAGGACCCAGCCACTTGGCAGTCTTGATGGTTGTGTCCTTGCGCGAGGCTGCGGCTAACAACAACTCGTCGTGAGAGAAGCATGGCTGGCGTCGGTAGTCCTGGAGACGCTGCACGCCATGCTCTCCAAAGGGCTCCCAGTCGCTTGGCGCAAAATTCACTGCCTCGTTCAGGTTGAAGCCATGGTTGAAACCGGCATGGTAGGCCTCTGGGAATGTTATCACAAACTCGCCCGCACGTTGATCAATTGCATAAACCCTGACTCCAGCTTTCAGCAGTTGCTCGGGAGTGAGAAGCGTCACAAGTTGAAACAAGAGGTCTGGCTGGCTTTCAAATAGCTCTGGCACTGCTTCGCGCATGGCTTGCTCAAACTTGTCCGTGTCCTCGGCTGGCACGCCATACCAAGTCTTGGTCGCACCAAAGTGTTGATAGTTTGCAGAGTATGTGTAGTGGTCCTCGGCATGCCAGCAAAATGTGGAAAAGACCATGCCGACATACAGCCAAGGGACCGTCATGCCCGAGATATCGGACTTGATGTGGCGGAACAGCGAATCTGGCGCGTATGGCAGGACGGTCAAGTTCCATGGATCTGTCGAGTACGGGTCTCGCGGGTGCTTTTCAATCGTCGGAAAGCCACTGCCATGTGTCGTCGAGTGGATGTCTGCTCCGTATTCTACTTCAACAGTCTCTGTCACGTTTGCAACTGAATGCCAGAACTCGCGTTCAACGTCGTCTTCTGTAACCGGCTTGGGCGCATTAGTGATGGGGTCAAAAGGCATCTTGTTGGCGAAATGGCTCTGCTTGAACTGATGCGCTTTCTCCTGGAACTGCTTGAGCGAGTATATGCCGCCTTCCTCAAACCCAAATTCGCCTGTACCCACAAGACACCGCGGGCAATGCCAATCGTATGCAGGGATGCCTTTGAGCGGCGGATCCAAGCAGTAGCCATGATAACCAGAGTCGCAGCTGTCGCACAGCAGAATGTTGGAAGGGTCATTGTCGGTGCCGCAGTTTTCGCAGCGATCACCGGGGCGCTCGTCAGCTGCACGTACACGAGGAAATGATCGGCCTGGCGTCGATTGGCGGGGCTGAGTCATGTGTGAACCGGCAACCGTGGGGGCAGACTCTTTTTTCAGGCGCTTACTGCGCCGACCATTGGCCTCGTCGCCATCGTCGTTGGCACTGCTGTCTGGGTCCTGGGACAGGGTGCGCTTTAGCTGGTTTATTGGGTGGCCGTTGGACAAGGGAGTCGAGCCAATGCCAGATGGTCGCAAGTCAGGAGTGTTGTCAGCCGAAAGCATTGGGCTTCCGCCGTTGCGCAGGGGCGTACAGGTGCGAGACTCGAGCACATCCCGGTGCATACTGCTTGGCAGGTTGACTGCAGCAAAAGAGCTGGGAGTGGACGGCTGGGTAGGCGGCTTCGACGAGGGATGCGCATTGACTGGCGTAAAGCCGCCGGCATTGACTGGCGTGAAGCCCGAATGTACGACTGGCTTGGGCAGCTCAGGCGGCGGGGTTGGGGCAGCTGCTTCGGGGTGTAGTGTCGCGTTCAGGGCCGCCGAGGCCTTGATAGCAGGTGACTTGGTGGCATTGGCAATGGGGGTGCCCTGGAGCGATTTTTTCACGGGCGAATGCGCTGGCGAGGGCGTAAACGGGCCGCCGTGCTCATACTCGAGCATCTGCTGGACGCCGGGCTTGACGAGGCGCAGATATTCCTCGTACGGGTGCAGCCACTTTTGGTACGAGTTCTTGAGCGATGTCGACAGCGACGACATGATCTTGCCGCTGTAGCCGAGGTCGCGTCCAATCTCGGCCCACTTCTTCTGCTTGCAGACACGCTCGAAGCCGCCCCTCTTTTCGACGGCCTTTTTGAGCTTGTAGAGGTCCAGCGGGCGCTTATCCACGCTTGGAAAACGAGTAAGACTGTGGCCATGCTGCTTGTGAAACTTGGCGAGCTGGTCCAGATAATTCAAGTTGGCACGTGTACCTGGGCCGGGGTCAGAGGGGACGAGATGACACAAGACTTTTCCAACGAGTACATACCACCCTCGACCGAGTTGAGTTCCTGGCGTCGAGTACGGAAATGGAAGCGCTAGTCGCCATCAGCTCTCTTCACACAGCGGGTGCACGCGGCGGCGACGACGGGCGGAGCGCAGTCGGATGGGGCGCATGGCACTCACCTCGGTGTCAATGGCAAAGGGCGGGTTCCACGAGTCGGGGGGCACAATCTTGACAATGCCGTACTTTTGCGCCTCGTCCCTGATGCTCTGGATGTACTTGACGGGGTCCTTGAACTGGTCGGGCGTGGGGCGATAGGTGGGCGCCTCGCGCAGGCCAAAGAGGCGCTTCTGCTTGGGCGGCTGGTTGTTTGGCGCTCCATGCCCCCTGCGCTCGACCGTGGCAAGATCGAGGGGAGCGGCCTTGCGCGCGCTCAAAGGGATCGAGCCTGCCCCATTTGGCTGCTGCACGCCGTTGGCGGCAGGTGTCGCGCCGCCGCCCATTCTCGACTTTGGCGTGCCCGCAGCCGCGTCCGACGTGGTGTTGTCGGCAGCGACCCGGAACGTCGTCATTGTGGCGCCCGGTGGCGGGCCCGTCTGGGAGATGAAGTCGACCATGGCCCTTTTTGCTACTGCATCCAGCGTGGGGCGGGCGGCAAGGGCTCTCTTTGCGGGCTCGGGGCGGCAGAGGGCGCGGCCTGGGGGCAGAGACGATGGCAATGGGGCGTGTGTCGATCGGTCGTGGGCGCTATCGGGCGGATATATCTCTCGTCATGGGAGGCTCTGGGGCGGCAGGCGACCGCTTCTGACCCAGTCGGGCCGTGGAATTTGCACGTCGAGGCGAATGGCGTGGAGGGAGCAGGGCGGGCGGGAGCAGGGCGCGGCGGCGGCGGCGAGGAGCGTGGCGGCGGCGGTGGTTGCGGGCGCTGTGTGTCGTGGTGGTGGTGGTGGTGGTGTGGTCTGGGGGTGGGAGAGGCGGCGAGGTGTGAGGAGGATGGATGGGGCCGCTGGAGGGTGCGAGAGGTTCCCTACTAGGAATGCCTCGCTAGCGGCGGAGGCACCATCACACCCAAGGAACCGAAGTGCAATGCATCGACGCTTATTCGAGCCAGAAGGCCATCATGTTGCAATTCCACGTTTGCGGCCCGGCCTTTTTCGGGCGAGGCCACTTGGCCACGGCGTGCATTTGCAGCGGCATATCGCGAGAGACGGGTGGAGGAGTAGTCGGTCGGCATGGAGCATACATACATGGTAGTTGGAGGATACAGAATACATGCAGCCGACTCTGACGCCTCACATGCCCCCAGGCCCCCAGGCCCCCAGGCCCCCAAGCCCCCAGGCCCCAAGCCCCCAGACGGCCGGCGTCGCCTGGACGGCCTCGCTACGCTGCTTATGATTATGGGGACAGAGGTGACCTTGGATCGCTGGCTGCTGGACGGAGCCCCTGTACCGGCGCACCCAGCCACCTGGCCAGCCGAGTGCTAGTGCAGGGCTACCCAGACGCATCGTCGGCCCGTTGTGCTCATGCTGCGCGGGCGAGTGTGTGTGTGTATACAGACATGTGCGTGTGCTGTGTGGTGGACAAGGCAAGACAAGACAAGACAAGACAAGACAAGACATGGCCGTCATGTGCATCGCGTCGCTGCGCCGGGCGGGACAGACGTGGGATCCATGGGATGCTGCAGCCAAAGGAATAGTCGATGGTGGGAGCCAAGGCTGGCGGCGCATCGGGAAGCCCCCCCCACCTGCGCCTGTGCCTGTGCCTGTGCCTGTGCCTGTGCCTCTGCCTGCACCCTCCCGTCAGCCCTAACCTGCCCGCGTCCACATGCCATCCACAGCAACACCATCACCACCATCATCATCGCCATCATCGCCATCGCCAACACTACCGCCGCCAGCACATGGAGAGCCGCCCCATCCCCGCCTTCTACTGCTGCTACCTGCTGCGCTCCCGCAACCGCAAGGCCTTGTACATTGGCAGCACCCCCAACCCCGCCCGCCGGCTGGGCCAGCACAATGGCTCCACCAGGGGCGGCGCAAAGCGTACCTCGATGCAAGCAAAGCGCCCGTGGGAGATGACGTGCATTGTCACCGGCTTCCCCTCCAGCTCGGCCGCCCTGCAGTTTGAATGGGCCTGGCAGAATACCCACGCCACGCGCCACATTGACCGCGAGACAAGGCGCGGCGACCTGTCCAAGCCCAAGACGAATGCATCGCCCTCCAGGGCCAAGCGCAATGCGAGACCGCCCAGGTCGCTCCACGCACGCTTGAAGAACCTGCACCATCTGTTGGGCGCCGCCAGCTTTACCAGGTGGCCCCTGCACATCCGATTCTTTGCCTCAGACGTCTTTGCCCAGTGGGAACAGCACATGGCAGCCACAAAGGCACGCCTGCCGAGCACCATCACAGTCCGACTAACCCCAGCCGAGCTCCCCAGGCTTGCCCCAGATGTGGAAAGTGAGATGCGCACCCATTTCATCCCCGACGTGATACGAGCCATTCCAGTGGCCTACCAGGACTGCAAGTCTCACGTCCAAAAGTCAAAGACCATGTTTGAAGACAATGAGAAGAAGGTCTGCGCCGTCTGCAAGAAAAGCGCGACTCCACAAAAGTCACTGCTACTAGTTTGCCCTGCCGAGGCCTGCCGCTCCGTGTCTCATGTGACGTGTCTCTCGCAAAAGTTCCTCGCAGAAGAAGGCAACCAAACCGCCTTCATCCCCATCCAAGGCACGTGCCCGACCTGCCATAGCCTCGTCCAGTGGTCTGACATGGCCAAAGAACTCAGCCTGCGAATGCGCGGCCAGGAAGCCATTAACGCCATGTTCAAGACGAAGCGGGGGAAAAAGGCAGACGGCAACAACACCACGGAAGAAATCCAATTTCCTGATATTGATGACGTGCATGCTGAGCAGGATGAAGACCTCGACGAGACATGGGCCGAGGATGTAAACGACGATGACGACGATGACGACGCGTGATTCGTCTACCAGTCCTCCACCACTCTCAACGGCAGCTGTCCTTTTGCAACCCGTTCAATGCACCGATCAGCCTGCTCTCTGACCTTTGCTGCCACCTCGTCCATGCTACCCCCAGCGTCGATGCGCACAAAGTCCTCTCCCTCCTTCTTCTGCATCAGCGTCTCAAACAAGGCCCGCACCCGATCCTGCATGTCCTTCTTCTCGTACTTTTCCGTGCCAAAGCCCCCGCGCTTCGCCGCATCCTCAGCCGAAATATCGAGAAAAAGACACAAGTCTGGCCGCGGCAATCCAACGTCGGGTTTCCGGCACCACTCCAGGCTCAGACTGGGGTTCTGCTTGGCAGCCGAGTAGACGCACCCGCTGTAGTAATACCGATCAATGATAACCGTGGTGCCAGCAGCAAGGTCCGCTTGGATAGACGGGCTACACCAAAAACATTAGCTTTTGCAATCACCCCCACGTCTACACTCTCTTGTCCATACGCTGCTTCCCACCGGTTCGCAGAGAACAGCAGATGAATCACATGATCCTCCTGCTCGCTCTGCCCACTCAAGTAGCTGTTGATCATCTGTCCAATCGGCGTCGTCCTATCTGCTCACCGTCAGCTGGGAGCAACACACACCATGTACCGTGAAGAAAATAAAATAAAACAAACACTTCCTTACTGTTGCTCGCACTTCTCGACTCACCTGGAAACCGCACATGCCGTACAGACACCCCGTCATTCTGCAAATCAGCAACTAGCTTCTCGCACTGCGTCGATTTCCCAGCCCGGTCCAGTCCCTCGAATACAATGAGCTTGCCTCGTGCCATGTCTGTCTTGATTTCGCTGCTGCTTTACGTCTAAGTCGTGCGAGCGCGCTGCCAGACTAATGGATAGCTTGTGTGCTGGTGTGTTTGAAGTTGTCGTGTTGATGTTGATGTTGATGTTAGTGTTGATGTTGGTGTTAAGTAGGTGGGGCGGGTAAATCAGCATGTGCGTTCCGGCAAAGGCAAAGGCGCCAAGTACAATAATAGTAGGTAAGGTGAGTAACCACCAACCAACCAACTGACCAACCAGCCACTACCATCGTAAAGTAAAGTAAAGTAAAATAAAGTCAAGTAAATTAAAGTCAAGTAAAGTAAGGTAGGTGCGACATTGCATTTTTGCCCAATCCACACATCTCGTTTCTCATATCTGTACATAGTCCTAGATTTCTTCCTTTCTTTCTTCCTTACTTTCTTTCCTTTCTTGCCCATGTATCTTGGGAAAGGAAAATGAAGAGGGAAAAACAAATCAGAAAATTGGCTCTTGATTATTTATTCAGTAGCCTCTTCTCTTATTTCGTTTTTTATTTTGGGGTGGGGGGGGGGTTTGTTTGTAGGTTTTTGTTGGGTACGAGTATACTACCACTACACTGCACTGCACTACACTGCACTGTATCACGCGTCGTCCAATATTCTATGTATTTAATTCAGCCTTGCATCTCTACGTGCAGCATACCAGTCCCGCGCTCGCACCTAGTTAGCTCACCACGGTATAGTATGCGAGGCTGACACCAAGAATCACAAAATACCGTATCCCTGTCTATTTTCTTTTGAATAAAATGGGGTAAGTAAATATGTAAGTGCAGCAGTTATATTGGCTGGAATCCTGGTGCTGCGTGATGAGGTCGAGACTCAAGGCTGAGGCGAGGCTGAGATCAAGTATGGTGGGTGTGGTGGAATAAGCTGCAGCCTCGTCTAGTTGTGGTTATATAAATGCTCGCTCTTGTTCTTGGATGAAAGCAGCCTCTTATTATTCGGAATTTTCCTCCTCCTCCTCCTTCTTCTTCTTCCTTTTGTCCAGTACAGCGCAGAAACAGAGACATGGCCGACGACGGTACACATGCACTGGTGGCTCAAGTCGCTACAATCAGCCTGAACGACAGGACTGAGACAGTGGGTGCGGCCGAGTCGCAGGGACCTGGTGAGTCTTCATACCAACGTTTCGCACTTTTTGGGAATGAAGGGGTTAATCTGTTGCTGTGTAGGAGGAAGAGGAGAAGAGATATCTAGTTTGGATGTAAGGAAGACGGAAAATGTACCTAGGGTAAAGACAAGAGGTAGCAGAATTGTTCATAGGAACGTGGATTTACACTCGGAAACCCCTTCTTCAAGCGCCAAAAATCCACAAAACGAATCCACGGTACAAGATGCAAATCCGAAACCGATAAAGGCACCCAGGCGCGTATCGAGGCGGCTGGAAAGCAGTTTCCTTGTTGAACAGGAAGATGCAATGCTTGCTACTACTTCTCGTCGTGAGCGCGTAGATTCACATACGAAAACACCTTCGAACGCTAAGGATACAGAACATGCATCTAGCGTGGAGGATGCGGACCTGAAACCACCCAGGCGCGTTTCTCGGCGGTTGAAAAACAGTTCCCTCGTTGAACAAGAAGATACAAGTCCCACTACCACTTCTTATCATGAGTGCGTCGATTCGCATTCGGAACGTGTTAATGCCACCTCAACGACTGAAGCGCTGGAGCCGGATCGCGAATTATCTCAAATCGAGGCTTTGGCGCTTGAGAACCAGAAGCTGAAGGAGGAGATTGCCAAGTACAAGGTTCTGTACAGAAAAGAAGTTTCCGAGACTGCCCAGCTGCACGACGAATTAAAGGAGACACAAGCGAAGTTGAGAACTTGCGAGGAAAGACTTGATATCAGCAAACGCCAGTACGAATACCTGCGGGACTATGACATCGAATCGCAAATGAAACTGGATGGACGATCTTCCACTTGTGAAGACGACATCCGATTCGAAAGAAAGCCCTTCAATGACAAATGGACCGAGGTGATTTGCTCTAGGGTTTTCAAATTCCCAAAATGGGCGCGTTCGACTGTATACGCAGATAGCGAGGATAAGAGTACGATAGCCTTTTTACGACTATCCGGCCGCTTGTACGGTGCCAAATCTGGGATGAAAAGAAACGATTACGGGGATTTCATCGACAGTGACCATTGGACGGAAAGGGCCATGTCACTATCTAGTATGGTTGGCCACCCGCTGAAAAAAGCATTTGCCACACATGCAGAGACACAATTGATCGCCTTCTACGTTGCTCGAATGATGACGTCAGCTGGCTTCACAATGGAGGTGAATATCTACAATCCCAAGGCATACGAGCCGTGCGCCCAACTTGGTGGCCCAGTCGTGATTCACGTCAGCAATAAGATATGTCCAAGCTGCATTGCTTTTGTGGACACGATAAACGATATTACGGACAAGTATGGATTGAAGTTCAGGCCTGAAAATGAGCTCATGACAGACCGGCCAAAACGAAATTCCGTTCCTTCAGAAGGAGTCCCCGTGCGATTCGTAGACGAGTAACGAAATCAATGTAAAACTGGTTTCATGCGTTTGGAAGGGTTTTGTGCACTTGTAGCTCTCTCTCATCACTAATCTTAATCAGCGTACATGTTCCACTGCAACACTTCCTACATATCGGCCGGAATATTACCCCACTAAATGGTATCTGTGTCAGGAGAGCGCAGATGCGAGACGAATGCGAGAAACCTGCCGAGATAATAATTGAATACGTTTTAGGTGGCCGAGTTGGACAAAATGATGACATCAATACGGAGGATACAGCCGCGAATGGACATGTTCTCCGACTTGATTACTTACGCACTGACAAGGTAAGTTGCAGCTGGATACGATCGAATGTACCTCACAACTCCATTCCCGCACGCATTTTCGCTTAGAAGAACAAAATGCGTGTTACCCCGTGTGATTGATTTAACGAACCAAATGCCAACAGTCAGAACTACACTTGAGTCTTGAATCTCAACATAAGGTGTCCTGAGGTATACGCTAGCGGAACTCCGTAAACCCACTTTGGCTACATGCATCTCCATACGACCAATCAGCGGCGAGTCCGGAGTATTTCGGCGCAACCCCACACTATTGTGAGACGAGACGAGACGGTCTCGGCAAGATCAAGTCGGCCGCCTGCAGACCTTAGGCTCTCAGGTATAAGGGCAAGGACTAAGAGGTACATGCAGATTACCAACACACCAGTCTGAAACACCGGGAGCCAGCAGAGCGCACAGCAGAGTCTATTGATCGGCTACGTGAATCACCCGAAAACCGAGAATAGGTTAAAGACTCAAACCCTAGAGGCGCTTGGCCACTTCATCTCCTACAAGACTCATTTGCTCGAACCCACCTCTCACCATGTCTGCCCCCAAACTCATTGTCCACCATCTCCAGGTCGGCCAAGGAGAGCGCATCCCATGGCTCCTCGAAGAGCTCAACATTCCGTATGAGCTGAAGCTCTACCAACGCTCACCTCTAACCTCACCACCTGAGCTGCAAGCCGTCTACCCCATCGGCGCCTCTCCTATATTCGAGGACCTTACAGACCCCTCGAATCCCGTCAAGTTTGCCGAGTCTGCCGCCATCAGCGAGTACATTATCCACAAGTACGGCAATGGGCGGCTGGCTCTCGCACCGCAGCACAAGAACTATGCAGACTACCTGTACTGGTTCAACTTTGTGAACTGCACCCTCCAGCCCGCTATGCTCACAAAGAGCATGGTGCGGGGTATGACGGGCAGCGATGAGGATCCCACATCCAAAGCCTATAGTGCACGCGTCTCTAACGGACTGAACCACATGAACAGCCGTCTATTGAGCAACACGTGGCTCGCTGGCGATGAGTTTACTGCCGCCGACACCATGTCGGCATGGGCTATGACGACCATGCGCAAGTTTGTGCCCATCGATCTGAGCGACTATCAGGGTATTCTGGCATGGCTGGATCGTATTGGTAAGCGTGAGGCATATAGGCGCGCTATGGGCAAGTCAGACCCAGGCCTGAGCATTGATGAAGGCCTCAGCGCAAAAGGGCCGCCATTGCACGAGGCATTCGCAAAGGCCATGGGGATCAAGCAATGAGTGTGGTGTGCAGCTCCGAGATACGCGGTTGATGGTCCGGGGATAGCAGAAGCCGTAGTGAGGATGCAGATGGTGGCTGTAAACAGCGGCTGTAGAAAATACCAAAGGCGCATGTATGCCTCTACCCACAACATGACTGAAACATGCAACATCTTGGCCCTGGCATGGGTGGTGTCGTGCCCTCGTGATCGTAGGGCACGTGACCGCGGGAGATGACATCAGGCTCGGGAAGAGCCGGCAGCATCCTTCCGGGTCCACTTCGAAGCGAGAGCTCAGGTACAACACGCCATTGCTTTGAACCTCATCACAACCACCTGATGCATCACACCACTCATCTCGACGCAGGTACGCGGTCGAATTTGCGCTGGCCGTGGCCTCATTGTTGCCAGAGTCGGGCATGCCAGCACGAGCGTGACCTGAGAGGCTGCCGACACGCCACGGCGAGCGGGGTTTGTACCAAATGGTTGGTAGAATGAGATCACATCAAGCTGGCTGACCCCTCACGCGAGCACCTCCGCATCCAAGCAGTCCCAGAGCTCTTATAAACCCAATTCACCTCTGTGTACCCTCCAAATCCTCCAAACTCCATCCCAGCACCACTCTACAAGTCCAACTACCGCTAGCTCTTGACCATGGCCGCAGCAAAGTACTCGCGCCGCCCCAGCTACCTCGAAGGCCCACTGTCTCCATCTATAATCCCCGATCTGGCAATTCTGCCGCAGCCCCTCCCGGCCAACGATGTCGCGTGCGGACAGCTAGTCTCCAAGACATCTAAACACACTCCCAAGGCACTCGAAGACCGTGACTACGACGACATTGGCACACGATGGTACGCCTTGTTGTATCTACACCACACGCCCTACTGACTCGTCCAGGTACAAGGATGTCATCTTCTTCAACTCAGAGAACGGCCACTTTGTCGAGAGCTTCGGCGGCACGCACCTAGTGCAGAAGCCTCTCGACAAGGGTCTTGAAGCCGGCACCATTGAGGCCGAGGAGCAGAGCGTGCGGCTGCTGAAAGACGCAGAGGCAGCTCTGAACAAGGTGTGGAAGGACGAGGAGTCGCGGAAATGGATCCAAGACCAACCCGAGGCCGGCTTCGTCGTCGCCCACCGCCAGGTCGCCAACGCCAGCTACAGACGTGCGCGTCTCGTTGATGTCGGCAACAACAACTGGGAAGTTGTACGCGAGATTGGCGGCGAGGACACGTCGGGTAAGCGACGCGACTCGGGTCTGCCCATTGAGACCAACAGCAAGTGGGATGTTGTCGGTGTTGTCGTCAGGAAGATTGTCGTCGATGGTGACAATGTCAAGCTAGGCGAGGAGCTGGGTGCTCAATACTGCAATTGAGCACCCGATGTGTTTACGCAGACATGGCCGGGTTTGCCTGGTGATATATATTTAATGGAATAATAACGGTTCAATCTTGACATGAATGTGTTAGTGTCTGTCATGGTAGCTGATGGGGCGCTGTTCAAGCACTTGGTCCCCAGCATCTAACACATGTTGATTCATGCTTTACACTCATACACTAACTCTTTGCATTAGTAAGGCTGCGTGTAATTGATGAGTAAAGAAATTATCAAGCTTCTCCTCGTATAGATATAACATCCAGCTCATCCATGGCGGTCGTTAAGATACCTGCATTATTCAAGCACATAACGCAGTAACCTCTTCTCATCCCCCAAGTCATCAGATCTCCCAAACCCAACCACACTTGATTTCGCTTGCCACAGGCACCATCCAACCTCCATCCATTCCCCATTCTCCGCATAACCTCTCAAGAATCTCTACAACACCCTCCCCTCCCCATCCCCCCTCACTCCAAATCCATCTCTCCCAAGAACAAAAAAACAAAAACAAAAACAAAAAACAACAGCATCTTCACGGATCCTTCTTCTCCTCCACCTTCCAAACAGGACACCCCTCGATATCCCCCTTGCACAAATTCAACCGATCCAAACACGCCCAGCACATTAGCGTCCGGTCCAGCTTGTCCCCGTACGTCGTCCCCTTGCACTCCATCACGCAGTATTGCTGGCCTCGCACTGGCTGGTAGATGTGGAAGTCGAAGCGGCCCGCGGTGCTGAGGGCGCTGGTAGTGAAGAGGAGGATAAGAAGGAGGAGGAGAGGTAGGGTTAGGTGGGGGAAGAGAGTGCGGGTTGTGGTGTGCATTGTTTTTTTTCTTGTTTTCAAGGGTTGGTGTGTGTTGGATTGCACTGGGTGGGTTGGATTGGATGGCGCTGGGTTGGGTTGAAGAGAACTGGGGTAGTGTTAGGTTGAGGCCTGTGTGTGTGTGTGTGTGAGATTGATCGAGTACGGGGTGCGTTACTGTTGATTTGTGTGTTTTGTCTGTGTTTATAGGTACTTGGTATTCCGATAGAGAGCGAAGATAATTCCAATCGTCCTGGAAGTGATAATCGCGAATAAATGTCTTCCAATGCACCTTGTGCAATCGTCTCTCGCGGTTTTTGGCGTTGGAAACTTGAAAAGTGTCGAGATCAGATTGAAGGGTCTCGAAAATTCAATGTACTAGAATTGGTACGCTATTGCTACATTATGATGCCTTCTATCAGAGAGACACAAAGACCCTTACTTCACAACGGGTCAATCACAATTTGTTATCTGGCTTACGAGAAGATTATGACACCAAGATATGGAACCACCAGATAGGGGGGGGCCCTTGTGAGGACGCTGGGAATCAGGGTCTGGTCAGGGACGTACCAACACAACTTGTATAAACTCGGTCATATCAGCCTTACAGACAAGCAATACTGCAGCCTCCTCAACCAGGTCAATAGATTCCAATGCATCAGGACTTAAATCAGCTCATGTTATCATTCAAATTTCTCGTTTAGCTAATGATGAATCAATCTGCCTCAGCCACGGGCTCGACAGAATCTGTCATGCCATCTTCTCATGCTTTAGCATAGGACATCCCCCTTCCAGCGTAAATATGTCAAAGCCAGTAGTCATGCCAGGCCTATATACCGCCACGCGTGCTTTTGTAACGCCCAACGCCAATTGAGTCCGAGTATGACGGGAGCGGAAAATTGGGAATGAGACCAGATGGATTTCTAAGAGAGCGTAATATCGCTGGCTGTGCCATCTCCATTCTGCTCCATCTTCACATCCTCACCATCTCCGCCTGCCAGCACTTTGGTCTGAGGGCGGTATCCCTCTGGTGGGCCTACGCCCGGTGTGCACGCTGCGACGTTGCCTTCCTCATCGACGAACTCAAAGTTGTACCGCGAGAGCAAATGCGGGATAGCTGAAAGCTGCGGTCCGTAACGTGCCGTATTGTCGTACAATTCGAACAGCGGGACGGCGAGGAGCTTCATGTTCTTTGGGACGCTAAGAACCTCTGCGGGGGGCGATTAGTGATTGGAGTCCCTGAACCAAAAGAGGAACAACATACTGCTACGTGGAAGCTGGATAAAGTAGAGCTTCTTGCATTCCTTTGGCCTGGTGACGTGCGCAGGGATAAACGGGTACATGAAGGTCTCGAAGTTGGGGCGCCACCATTGCGCCAGGGTATCGCCCACCACCCACTCATCGTTTACGCCCTCTCCTGTAAACTGCGTGCCGACTGGTGCAAGGCGCTCGTTCAGTCTGGCCTTGAAACCCTCAATCTCGTCGTCTTCGGCGCGGAGGTAGTCGCCAGGGCTGCAATAGTGTCAGATTCGCGGCACAGTATTGAATCCAGAGCAGAGCTTACAGCTTGAAGAAGGCGTTTGCAATCTGTAGCATAAGAATGTGCGGGTGGTTGTGCTCGTGGCAGACCAAGATGCCCTCGCAAGTTCGGCGCATGCCATGCTCGGCATAGTGTTCTTCCAGGCGCTTCAGGCGCGCAAGAACAGACGGGTCCTCTTCTGGCTGGCCATCTTTTGTCCCAAACGTGTAGTTGCTCAGAGGGAACAGGCGAATCGTCTTGGGCTGGTTGCCGTTGAAGTCCTTGGGGATGACGGGGCTGGATACATCAGATCAACGTGCACATAACGCGACAAACGCGAGACTTACGGGTACGAGCTTTGGGAAGCTTCCTTCACTATCGTCGACATGGTGGCGATGGGTGGTGGTGCCGACGTTCGCAGTCGCAGCGGCTTCGCGACAGTCGAGCCGTCGCGGTGAGCTTGCAGGGATGCCGCGGTCTCGCTAGCACGTGACGGCGCCTGGGCTTCCCCATCGTCACCACCACCACCAAACCCCAGCCCAATTGCAACAGCACACCACGAGTCTTTGGCTCCACTCAGCTTTTGCGGCTGCAAATATAGACTGACAGCTCAATTCTACACACTGCCACAGCAGTCACACCATGTCGCGTTCAGCACTCATCACTGGAGGTAAAGCGAATCTTGACGAGTCCCTGGCTGCTGGCTGACGCACGATAAAGCCAGTGGTCTGCTCGGACGTCAAGTGCAACGCGAATTCCTCCTGGATGGCTGGAAGTCGATTGGCACGGTTCTGACTCGCATCATTGCACCCGACGTCATTAGACTCGATATTCTTGACCGGGCAGAGATCGAGAAAACACTAGACGACATCAAACCCTCGGTTGTTGTGCATTGTGCTGCAAATCGCTTTCCAGACTCGTGTACTGCGAACCCGGAGGCAGCGAGAGCACTTAATGTCGAGTCGAGTCGAGCATTGGCCGAAACAACCACTGCTCGAGGCATTTTCCTTATTTATATATCGACCGATTACGTCTTCCCAGGGCGCCCAGGTGAGGCTCCGTACAAGGCAGACGCCACTCCAAGCCCGCCGAATGTGTAAGTCACCATGCACATGTCTCTTTGAAGCGGGCTCAAATTGTCGAGTAAAGCTTGGAAGCTCTTGTCGGCATCTTGAACTAGGCTGACGGTCATCCTAGTTACGGCCAGACCAAACTAGAAGGCGAACAAGCCGTCCTCGATGTTGCCAAGAAATCTGGCGCAAAGAACAAAGTCGTTGTCCTTCGAGTCCCTGTCCTCTATGGAACCTGTGATGAGCCAAAGGAAAGTGCAGTCAACGTGCTCATGTCGCAGCTGTGGAATGCCCAGCAGATCAGCGAGGGCGAGCCCAAAATCCAGGTCGATGATTATGCACTCCGGTTTCCCACAAACACCCAAGATGTCGGCAGAGTGTGTCGTGACATGGCGAAGCTGTACTTGGATCCGGCAAACGCGTAAGTGGGGTGAACACAATGAATTATCATTCGCGATCAGGCTTCCCTAGCTGACTATGTTTAGGGACAGCGAACTCCCCAGCATCCTTCACTTTAGCTCGGAAGATCAGATGACCAAATGGCAGATATGCCAGACGTTTGCCGACATCATGGGATTGCCACTCGAAAACATGGTTCCATTCAAGCCCGAGGAAGAACCAAAGGATGGCACTGTCCGGCCGTACGACTGCCACCTGGATACCAGTGCACTGCAAGATCTCGGCATCGATGTCTCAACCATAGACTTTAAAACCTGGTGGTAAGTACCCACAGGCGCGTATCCTCCATCCATCTAACAGATTCCGCAGGAGACGCGAAGTCGGAGCATTCCGCTAAGCCACATCATTTTCGCACTGCCCATAACCATCGTTTCACCTCCTGTATTCCCACCAACTGCTCATGCACCGTGCCACCCTCATTCTATATTTACGCCAATCGTCAGGTCACCGCGAGGCTGACAAGCTGCAAGCTGCAAGTGCGAAAAAAAGCCAAGCCCCCCCAAACACGATGCGATCTTCAGACCCGTCGCAAGTAAAAGCCACCCGTTCCTGCGTCCGCACCTGAATAGGAAATGCTGTACCCACTTGCCGCAGCGTCATGCCTTTATATTGGACGCCGGGCAAATGTCGTCGATTGTCGCGTTCCGCCGGCTTGGTTTATGCCCAGATTGGGATTCCCGTCGCTAAATGATTGGACGACACCGGTTCCTGCGGCGCAGCAGGCGCCTCGAGGTTTGGGGGCGCTTAGCCAACGTGAACACGTCGTTAAGTACCTGTTCTGCTCGGCGTGTACTGTAGAATGTATCCATTCACCCTCTCCGACTTGCATGCGCGTTCCCCCCCTTTTTTCTTCATCTTTTTTTGTGCGTTTCCTAATCTAGTCGTTAATAGGCCTGTTTTCTTCCTTTTTTGGTTTACGCCATGACTTCTTCACGAGAAAGCTCTCCAGCAGCAACAAGACCCGAGAGCCATAATGGAGGAGGCGTCTTAGCATCGTTGACTTCCATGCTAGCACGGCGAAAAAAATCTAAACGTGGGTAAAAAAAAACTAGTTGTCCTTGGTTGTGTGTGTTGATGTATGAAAATAGCAGCGGTACTTCAATTGACCTGGAAGCCAATTGCATTCAGTCCCTTTACACTGATTCTTGCCACGCTAATGGCATGGTCACTCATTGCCCTTCTGCAAGTTCTCCTCGTGATCAGCGAGAGAAACGGGGGCGTCATTCTCGCATCCACAATTAACGATATTGGGATTGGGAAATCGTTCGAGTATCTCTACTTGCCCACCATCATCGCGCTCGTTTTCAGCATATTCTGGAATTGGATTGATTTGCAGGTGAAGAGGCTGGAGCCGTATCACCAGCTTAGCCAGCAAAATGGCGCTTGGGGCAAGGATAGTCTGCTGATAAGCTACCCCTTTGACTTTTTGCCGTTTGTGCCATGGAGCGCCTTCAGAAGCCGGTGAGTCTGGCTCCGCTCAGAGGTGTCTACCGACAGACTTTTTGATTTTTACAGGCACTGGGCTGTGTTTTGGGCTAGCATCTGCGTCATGCTCGTCACATGGGGCCTGGTCCCTCTACAAGCGGGTATTTTTGCTACCGAGATAGTCACTCGCACCGCATCCGTCTCTTTTGCGCGATCCAATACCTTCATGCCTGCGAGCGAGCAGCCGCTCAATATTACCGGTCGATACATCCAGTCTGCCCATGGCATCATCTGGCTGAACGAAACGCTGCCGCCTTACATGACACGCGAGTACATGCTGGCACCATTCCAGTCCAAAGCAAGCATCATGGCTGCAGCCACAAATATCACTTGGACTTCAAACACAACGCTCTACAGTCTGGACATGACATGCGAGACTCCCAAGCTGAGCGTTAAGAACGAGACATACATCAGTGCCATCACGTTGAAGCCAACGACAGAGCAGAAATCAGTGTATACGAGTAGTAACGGCTGCGGCCTCGCTACCCGCTACTACGCGACTCTCGGCAACGAGACGATTGGGCCGAATCCCTCGTTCCAGAACCAGACTGTGTACAACACCAAGGAGTTTTCCGCCGTGTACATTGGGTATTACCAGACGGATTTCGCCGATTACTACCTGCAGGGGCTGTGCCCGGAGACTGCCAACCATACCTTCATGGCCATGTACACTCGCAACAAACGCGCTGCCGACGACCTACCTCAGCCCGTCACAAGGCTCTACTGCACACCGTTCTACTACCAACAGCCCGTCAGCGCAACCATTGAAGCCGCCACCCAACGACCGCTTAGCGTGACGCCTACGGGCGAAAAAACACCCCTTCCAGCAGACTTGTGGAACGCGACGTTTTTCGAGTACCAGATGAACGAGGGCAGAAGCAACGTGCACCCGCAGGACTCACTGCCCCTCAAGTTCTGGCCCGACCAGACGGAAACAGTATCGACGCTGAATCTCAGCCTGGGCGTCGAAAGCACCGTTCTAAGCAGCATGGCGGGGTTCTCGGTTGGCGCTACAAATCATACGCTGGAAGAACTGGTGGACCCAGAGGCACTGAGAAGCGCATATGAAGCTACTTATCGCATCATCTTCGCAAGGTCCATGGCGGAGATTCTGCATTACGACTTTTCTTCTGCTACGGCGTCGACGCTGAACGGAACTGCGCAATACAAGGTAGCAGCTGTAGTTGTTGTGCCCGTCTTCACGTACATTGTGGAGGGGTTCCTGGGCTTGATATCTCTGTGCAGCATAGCGCTGTTGGTCATTTCGCTGCGCCGGAAGTGGAATCTGCATTCTGATCCGGCGACCGTCGCTAGCGTCATGGCGCTTGTGGCCGACAACCCGGCTTTGTTGGATGATTTTGCGAAGCTGGGCCGTGTCAAGATGGACGAGTTTAGCGAGTACGTCAAGAACAAGAAGTTTGTGCTCGAGAACAGCGAGCGAGGCAATGTGTAAGTTTGTATACCGTTTTTCTGTGCAAAGTACTGGCTAAATGTCTTGGAAGCATCGCCGAAGCAGACAACTACGATCCGTTGGATAATGATACCCACGGCACTTTGCAGACTGATTTGGACGAAGCCCAGATATCGAAGCCTGTACGCCCAAAGGAATTTCGGTCATTCATGGTTGTGCCTTTCGTTAGTTTGCTAATTGCACTTGCAATATCCCTGGGGGTGCTGTTGGCAAAGAACCAGCCTTATGGTAAGCATGCACTTGCTGAGTGGTCTTCACTCATTAACCCTGCGTAGGGATTGTCAGGCCATCCAGTACTCTTATGAGGCAGATTGTTGAGAACTACATCCCCACGGCTCTGGCAACACTGATTGAACCTGTTTGGATCTTGATCAATCGCTTGCTATGTCTGCTACAACCGCTAGAGGAGCTCCGCGGAGGCAAAGCAGCGGCGTCCAGGTCAATTGACGCCGATTACAGTTCGCTACCACCCCAGCTTGTAATGTTTAAGGCGTTGCGCTCGTCGCATTTCAAGCTGGCTGTGGTGTGTTTGATGGCATTGCTGGCCAACGTTCTTGCAGTTGCCTTTTCAGGCGTGTTTGAAGAGCGTTCAATCATAGTTCCGGAAAACCTGTCGTTTGTCCCCCCGTATCAGCATAAGTTTGTATCGATCAACGGAACCGTGGGGCCGAACATGCCTGCGCAACAACAATTAACAGTCAAACCTTCTGGTGCCTACACTGGTGGTTTAGGGTCTAATCAGTTCCTCGTTGCTGAATCAAACTATACGGCAGGAACACCACTTCCAGCATGGACCGACAATCGATTCATGTACATGCCCTTCGTAGACGAAGACCTCTTGAAGCCGAACAAGACAGAAGCGCTGCAGGCACAAACAACTGCCATCGGAGGAGAGCTCGAATGCCAGCTAGTTGAAGCTCAGGATTGGGCGGCCAGTTGGTTCAGCGAGTTGCCTGGGCTATCCAACTTGAACATCTCCGTAGCTGTCGGTGGCACAACGTGCGCAAGGACGAATGTCATGGTAAATCTAGGACCCATCGATGCGGATAGGACGACCCCGAAGTGCCAGAGAGGAAGAGTTGCTGTGGAATATACTGGCACGCTCGAAGCACGTCCAAGTGCCCCCGTAACCGAGCATAACTTTTGTGCTGAGTTGGCGGTTTTGGCCTATTTCCGAGATACGGACATCTGTTCGCGAGATACGACGACTCGGATCGACAAGAAGAACGCAGTGGTCTTTGGGTGCCGCTCGCGCCTAGTTGGTGGTCAAGGTGATGTGATAATCGATGACAGTGGTCGGATTCAGGGCGTCTCCCAAAGGAATGTGACATCGGATCTGCCCGAGAAATTTCTGGAAAAGCACTTCAGTAACGATGCGTCCAATCTCCTACGCCAAGGCAACACGTACCTCCTGCCCCAATTTACGACTCCCGCTTGGCACAACCAATCGTATGCCAACGACTTCATGAACTACTTCATGATCAAACAGGGTGGTCACAGACGCCTTACCGACCCAACACTACCGCCTCCTTCGCTTGACGAACTTACCCAAAACTTGTATCCGGTGTACAGCAAGCTCTTTGCTATTTGGCTCGGCATCAACAAAAGAAAACTGTTGCTTCCACGCGAAGAAGGCTCTACATTCACCATGGAAGGTGTGGCGAACGACCGGCAAATCAGAATTTTCCTCTCCCAGCCATTGTTCATCATCGCAGAAACCATTCTGGGTATTTACGTATTTGCCGCCATCTGCATATATCTCTGGCGACCAGGACGCTTCTTGCCCCGGATGCCGACTTCCATCGCTGCCGTGATAGCATTGATCGCGGCGAGTCAGGCTGTGCGTGACATGCGTGGTACTAGTTTGTTGAGCCGGAGCGGACGTAGGAAGCACTTGCGCAGTGTGGGTGGATCGTATGGATACGGAACGTTCGTTGGCCCTGATGGGAAATTACATGAAGGCATCGAGAAAGAGCCGCTGGTGAACGCTGTGCCTCTTCTGGGCGTTGTTGAAAAAGTGCAGACGGGCTTCTCGTCGAAGAACTTCACGTTCAAACGGAGTCATGGTTGAAGACCAGTAGTCTGAGGGGCCTTACCGGTAGCTTCGAAGCATTGGATACATGAGTCCGCTACTGTTACTAGGAAACCCCGACTGATTCGGTGAGTACAAACGTATTCTCAGGTGATCGGCATGGCAGAATCTGCAACAAAGTTGTGTTCAGCAATGATACTCTGCCAGTTTCCGAGTGGGTACTCGTGAAATGACGACGAGCCCAAGACGGCGGTACGTGCGGGAGGTGCAAGTCTCGCGAGGTGGCTGGTCGGCAGCGTATTCCGGTGGAGTGACAGATGGTGTCGTTTGTGCGTTAGGGCGAAAAAGGCCAGTGAGTAAACTACTGTATGCCCGGATGTTATGGCAAGGGTGCAGCTTACGTTGCCATAGCCGTGAACGGAGAAGAGTTTTACTCTTTCTGAACAGATCCACCGTTCGTTTGCCACTTGTTTCGGGCCATCGGGACTGACGGGTGCGCCATGGCAAACCAATACGCCAGAGCCATGATACCAATGTTTCATAGAAAGAGAAGGAAAGAGGGGCAAGAGGCCAAGACTGTCACTGTTCTGAATCCAGCCAGCGGCAATTCAGCCGCTTGAGGTGATGGCAAGGCACTGAACAGCAGCGGCAGGAAGTGTGTGTTTCAAGGTGTCAGTGAAAGTGAGGTCCTGGCCCAGTCGAACACCCTGCCAGAGTGGCCCAGGCCCCTCACTCTTTGGCGCTGTGGATGTTTCCTGAAGACAGCCGTCGGTACACTAGGATGAGAGCGACACACGGCCACAGCTGATGGGCCATCCGACACCAAGCCTCCTAAGCATTTTTGATCACCATTGATCAGCCGTAAAAAGAAAGGGGAGGCCTGTCGCATCGAGGCCCCGCACTTGTTGATGGAGGTGGGTAGCTCAGGCGGGAGTCATCTGGTGAAACAAGGTGTAGTAGGCGGAGCTCCAATCAAGGACAGCAAGAGTGAATGGCTAACGAAGGTGGGCGCTTTGGCATGGCGAGGGAGTGACGACGAGCGGCTGGTAGCGAAGAGTCGGCGGAGGGCGGGGCACATGACGCTCGGCTACCACGAGGCGACAGCCCACATCGCCCACAGCCACACGGCTAGCATCCATCGCTCGACCTGCGACCTCCACTCTCGCCCATGCCGACGGCCAATACTCCGAACGAAGACCAGCCATGTGGCGCAGCCCTAAGGAACTGGACCCGACCACCACTCGCATTTCGCCGATGCCCCCGTTTAGCATTGCCCGGCGCAGTGCCCATCGCCCTGATCTACACGATGTCTGTCATCCGTGTCTGGTTTGGGGCCAGTGCCAGTGCCAGAGCCGCAGCAGTCGCACGGCGGGGCGCGATGGCGACCCAAAAAAAGACCTCATGCACGGTGAGGGATACCCACGCTGCGACGCATGAATTTCGCATGTCGTCGATGGGGCGCCGTTGGGCCCCGTGGCCTGCAATCAAAACGACATCCTCGTCGCGCTGCCAGACTTGCCACCGTGAGCCGGCGACAGCATGACAGCTTGTGCGCGCAGTGCATACACACACGAACGCCCAAAACACAAACACGGCGGTTACTGCAGTGCGGTTTAGCGACGCAGAGCCGCCGCTGTGCAACGTGGTTTGCTGTCAGGCTGGCAGAGGCTTGAGCCCGGCGTGGATGTGGACACGATGGCCATCCAATGGGCTGGCTGCCAGCAGCCATCACGAAGGTTGCTGATCGTTTCAGCTTTGGCTAGCGATCGCCACTCCACACCAGTGCTAGCCTTGGGGTTATCGATAGGCTGGCGACTCGGCTTGCCCCTGCATAACTGACTGCCTGCAGGCACACATCTCAAACCTGACGCTACCACGACCACCCCCCCTGACTAGGTCAATAGCCGCATTTCCATACCTGCGCCTGCCCCTCCGAGCTCTTCTCCGCTCTTTTTGTTTCACGAACAATGGCCTTGTCATCACCGCATGGCCAATGGCATGGCGATTGTGCCTGTCGCTCGCTCAGCACACTGCCGGCTACACCACTAATCCAGCGCCCGCACCCCTGCCACTAGACCGCAAGGAGTACACTAGCCGAGCAAGAGGGCCTGTCGTTGCAACAGGCACCTTGCTCTATCCAACAGCCTATGCTCCTCGACAGCGATCAGCCGGGGCATTTGCTCCTGCTTGCTAGTGCCACCATACGAGACGCCACAAGCTACGTATGCGGGCAGAAGACGCTGTTCTTATATAGACCCACGTCGTTTCGTCCCCATTTCCTCCTCACACGCAGCTACCACAGCATCACCACTTCTCTTTCTTCTCTTTTGCTTTTCTCACCTTCTTGCCTGTGGCAGATTACACTCTTTACGAGCGCTGTGCATTGTCGACGAGCTAGACTCAACCATCTCTCAATCCAGCCCATATCAAACACCAACTCGCTCAGCCGGTCTAGCGATTTACAACCGAGGATACCCTTTTCTCACATCATTCTTTATCAGATATCAGCATGTTTTCCCGAGCTACCATTCTCCTCGGCCTCTCGGCCAGTGCCACCGCGCACATGATCATGAACTACCCAGTTCCTTACGGCAAGGCCACTTTGAACAGCTCTCCTTTGGCACCAGGCGATTTCCCTTGCAAGCAGCGTCCCGGCGTCTACGACGTCACTGAGATGAACCAGTGGAACGCTGGAGAGACCAAGACCATTTCCTTCACTGGTTCAGCAGTTCACGGCGGCGGATCCTGCCAGTTCTCCATTACCACCGACCCACAACCCTCCGAGAAGTCGCAATGGAAAGTTATCCAGAGCGTTGTCGGTGGCTGCCCGTCCAATGTGACTGGTAACCTCACGCCGGCTGACCCCGATGGTCACGGCGCTGCTACTTTCCCCGTTGAGATGCCCACCGATATTCCCGACGGACAATACACCTTTGCCTGGACCTGGTTGAACAAGGTCGGTAACCGCGAGTTCTACATGAACTGTGCTCCCATCCAGGTCGGCAGCGGTGCTGCTAAGGCTTCGACCAAGAGTGTTTCTGCGGCTCTTTCCACCCTTCCCGACATGTTCGTTGCCAACCTGCCCGCTACTGAGTGCGCCACTGCCGAAGATGAAGACTTCAACTACCCCGAGCCAGGCAAGAACCTCGTCGAAGGCCACGGCGCTGCCCTCGGTGACAAACTCACTGGTTCTGGATGCAGCACCATGACCAAAATGGGTGCTGGTAACGGCCAGCTCGGAACTCCTACTCAGCCCGATGCCTCCCAGCCCAATGCTTCCCAACCTGCCGCCGGACAGCCTGTCGCCTCCCAGCCCGCTGCCAGCAGCCCCCCTGCTGCCACATCTGGATACCCTGCCCTTCCACCCAACGGTGGTGGTATTTTCGCCCCCGGCGCCTCTTCTGCTCCAGCCTCGAAACCCACTCCTGCTCCTGCTCCAGTCGCCCCCAAGCCTAGCAGTGCCCCTGAACAGCCCACCTCCACCGCCGCTCCACAAAAACCATCGACTCCTCAGACACCATCGACTCCTGGCAATGGCAGCAGTGCTCCATCTGGCGGCAGTGGCTGCCACCCCTGCACCACTGACGGCGCTGTTGTGTGCATTGGCACCAGCCAGTTCGGCCTTTGCAACCACGGATGCGCAGTTCCTCAGGCCTTGGCCAACGGCATGTCTTGCTCTGGTGGTGCTGTTGTTGCTTCGGTCAAGCGCTCCGTCAAGTTCCCCCGCGCCCACCTCCACCGTCGCCACGCTGCCTCGCACTTTATCTAAGCGCCATGGCCTGCACAGTGGGCACGCAAGACGTGCCCATGTATCAACATCAGCCACTGGCTACGACACACATCGCTTGGAGTTCAAACGGCGGTGACGGAAATGTATGAATTGGGTTGGGTGGGAAATGGGGTTTTCATGTTTTATATACCTCGCTACGTTTGGCGGACACCACTTGGTGCTCGCTGGTGGCACTTCTTCTTCTTCTTCTTTTGTTGTTAGATTCTTTCGTTCATGTTTGGCTTTTGACCCAGCCGGCATGCCTTTTTATTTCTTGGCTCAAGAGAAGTCTTGTGGTAAGCCTCGTGTCTTCGCGAGCGCAGCATATACATAGCGTACCAGTTGTACAAAAACCAATCAGAATGCTCATTCGTTTGGCAAAACTCCGTCCCGACTTGATTTGTGAAGTTTAGTCAATGATGGTGTGATGTCATGTTCTCCATGCGTAGAAAAGATTACGATACAAAGGGCAGTAATACTCGGAACGGATACGTGTCTCGGCGCTGAGAGTGCCATGGCTATGCGGTGAAGGGTAGCATGTAGCCACCAGACGTGAGGGGCACGCCCTTGCAGCAGCGTGTGCCGTGTTGCCCCGCAAACGAGGCGTCTGCCACTGCATTTGATATCGTCTGGTACTCGATGTACATGTGCATATGCTGGGACAGGGCAAACGTCGAAGACTATTCACCGGATTATGACGTTGGCTGGCTGCTGATTGGCCAGCCCCTCAGGGCACCGACAGGGCAAGCCGACCTCCCCCTCTGCAGTCACCCTCTGCAATCCCACACCCTCAGCCCTAAGCCCACCGCCCCTCGCCCCTCGCCCCTCGACAGCGCACACCCGAGCACGCGACGAGGCACACTGCACGACTCCCTGCGGCCACTGCAACTCCATTATTTTGTCTTGTCGGGCGCAAGAATAGGAGAGCGCGCCTCGGCCCTCGTATCGCACGCGGCCGCCACTCGAGCTTGGGAGGGTCATTGCGCTCGCCCCACTACCTCGCTGCCACTGCCTTCACCTCCCCCGTCTCCTGGCGCTCACACTTTACGGCGAACAGCACAGACCGCCCAACATGGAAAACAACCAGCAAGATGTCGACCAGACCAAGTATATCGACAATGCCATTCGCGCCGTGCGAGAGAAGAAGCCCCTGCCGGAGATTGACTTTACCCTGCATACCATGGAGGATGGCACGCAAGTGAGCACGCAAGAGCGTGTCTGCAAAGGTATGCCTGATCCGCGGGCCTCGAGCCGGGTTTTTCTGTTTGATTTTGCGGCCACGAGCTATGCAGCCGCAGCCAGCATTGAAGCCGCCGTCAGCTAACGGCACCGTGTCCACTAGATGTCCAAGCACCCGCCTTCCACCCGCCTAGCGACGACCAATTCTTCTCACCGCAAGATCGCACCAAGCCGAACATCCAGTTCCTGAAGCAGCACTTCTACCGCGAGGGTCGCTTGACCGAGCAGCAGGCGCTATGGATCATCAAGAAGGGCACGGAAATCCTAAAGTCGGAGCCCAACATGCTGGAAATGGACGCTCCCATCACCGTGTGTGGCGACGTCCACGGCCAGTACTACGACCTGATGAAGCTTTTTGAAGTCGGAGGCGACCCGGCCGACACACGCTACTTGTTCTTGGGCGATTATGTCGACCGCGGCTACTTCAGTATAGAGGTGAGACGGCCGGGGAGCTAGTCGTGTGCATTGCTGACACATTGTAGTGTGTGCTGTACCTGTGGTCCCTCAAGATCTGGTACCCCAATACGCTTTGGCTGCTTCGAGGAAACCACGAGTGCCGCCACTTGACCGACTACTTCACCTTTAAGCTCGAATGCAAGCACAAATACTCCGAGGCCGTGTACGAGGCCTGCATGGACTCTTTCTGCGCATTACCCTTGGCAGCCGTTATGAACAAGCAGTTTTTGTGCATACACGGCGGACTGAGCCCTGAGCTCCACACTCTGGACGATCTGAAGACGGTATGTAGTTTCTGTAAAGCGCTGGGGACTGCAGCTGACTGTGGTAGATTGACCGTTTCCGGGAGCCGCCCACCCACGGCCTCATGTGCGACATTCTCTGGGCCGACCCGCTCGAGGAGTTTGGCCAGGAGAAGACGAACGATTTCTTCGTTCACAACCACGTCCGCGGATGCTCGTACTTCTTTTCCTACCCTGCCGCCTGTGCTTTCCTCGAAAAGAACAACCTCTTGTCCATCATCCGCGCACACGAGGCCCAGGATGCCGGTTACCGAATGTACAGGAAGACACGGACGACTGGTTTCCCCAGTGTCATGACGATTTTCAGCGCGCCCAACTATCTGGATGTGTACAACAACAAGGCAGCTGTGCTCAAGTACGAAAACAATGTCATGAACATTCGGCAATTCAGTAAGCGCAGGTCTCTGGGCTTGACATGACAAAACTAACTTGTTCAGACTGCACACCCCATCCGTACTGGCTGCCCAACTTTATGGATGTCTTCACGTGGTCGTTGCCGTTCGTGGGAGAGAAGAGTACGTGCAGTTCATCGGTGGTGGCAATTTCAACTAACACATTCTAGTCACGGACATGCTCATTGCCATCCTGAACACATGCTCAAAGGAGGAGCTCGAGGAGGAAACACCCAGCTCGTTGGCTTCTGGGCCATCGTCGCCGCCTCTTTCCAGTCTGGACCCAGAATCAACCGAGTTCAAGCGCCGCGCCATCAAGAACAAGATTCTGGCCATTGGTCGTCTCTCGCGTGTATTCCAAGTGTTGCGTGAGGAGTCTGAGCGCGTTACCGAGCTCAAGACTGCATCAGGCGGCCGTCTCCCTGCCGGCACACTGATGCTCGGTGCAGAAGGAATCAAGCAGGCAATCCACAGCTTCGAGGACGCGCGCAAGGTCGATCTGCAGAACGAGAGACTGCCGCCAAGCCAAGAAGAAGTACGAAAATCTCAAGAGGTCAGCCGGGAGCAGGCTCTCGAGAAGGCGACCAAGGAGGCAGACAACGACCAGGGTCTGGCTACGGTGGCCAGGCGCATCAGCATGTAAGCTTGGCTAGACATTCTGACCGTGTGCGGCGACTGACGTGAGCAGGTCCTCTGGATCGGGGCGCAGCCGGAAGAGTTAGGCGCGATTCCGGCGATCGCTATCCGAGAGTGAGGTGAGGTGCGTGTTATGACATGACGGCGTGTTAGGATGTTGGTTTGTGTGTTGGCGGGCCATCCAATGTCATCAGTATACCAGACAAGGCGTATGTGGACACACGAGCGTAACCTAGAGGGTACTGCCTTGCGATGTGGGTAATTATTTGCTGGCGACGTGCTCAAGCCTGTGTGAGCCAGTTTCTCATTGAATATGATCAAATCGGTGCCTACTGCGCTGTTTATTTGGTGGTCGTATATATGTATACATGCAAATGTGTGTGGATGGGCGGGCGCACGTGCCGGGCCGAAGCTAGCTTTGCCGACCTACGTCAAGTGCAACAATTGGGACCATGGCAGCAATGCTCAACTTCAAGCCCGATGCCTCCATGGGTGGCCTCCGTGCCGCGACTGACCTTGTTTCGCAAGACAGGGCCAATTGATCGGATTCCGCTTGCGCTTCGCTGTCGCAATGTCCCCAGGCCGACATGTGCCAGTTTTCGCGTCCGCTCCGCATCGACGCATGTCTCGCCGACTGCGATAAATCTGCGCCCCAACGTCCCCGCACGCAACAAGGACCTGTACGACGCCTTGTCGGCGCTCAGCGGAGCAGCAGAAACACATGTCAACATCAGCAGACTGCAGCTGGCATTGCGCGGTTTGGCCGCGCAAGATGCCGTGACCAGAGTGGCTGGTACAGTGCACACGCAATTCAGTGGCAATGGCACGGGCGCTGACGACGACATACAGTCCTCGGCTTGAACAGCCAATTCAGCGCACAGCAACTGGCGCGTCTGCTGCTCGCAGATCCACTGGGAGCTGAGGAGCAATGGGAAAAGGAGCTGGCCAAAGCAGGCGACGCCAATGACAACGCCGTCTTGCTAAAGTGGGTGCATGCATGGCGCTGGACAGGGAGCGCAACAGCTAACACGTCTGCAACAGGTACGGCACTGATCCCGATGCCCACCCACCATCACCGCTGTACAAAGTCCTCGTCGTTCCGTCGCGCATGCTCCAATCGCACAATCTAGAGGTACTCGTGTCGACAGTCAACGTCAATGTTGCCAAACCCGCCCCGCATGTGTCGACGGAGAGCCCCATCGAGTCGCTGCTGGTTCCAAAACTCCAGGCTACTTCGGCCAGAGGATTGCCTGTCCCGTACCCGGTACACAAGACGCTGGTACTAGGGGAGGGCATAGACAGCATGATAGCCTTTGGCAGATTTTCGGCGGATGGTCTCAACGAGATGCAGAGCATGGTGAAGGTGGCTGTTGATCTGCCAGTGCCATCCACCGAGTCACAACCAGACCCTCATGCTGAAAGTGTCCCCGTCAACATTGCAGTCGGTGCGAAAGGACTCGACAGTTTCCGCGAGTCGATCAAAAACGCGACCATATACGAGCGGGCTTGGTTCCAAAGCGGGCTGCCAATTCTGTCTCAGTGGCTAGTCCAAGATATCCAGCCGTCTGAAAGCCTCAAGCCGCCGATGAAAACGCTCATAGCGTCCATTGCGGACAATGCGGGAACGAGCATTACAAGAGAAGATGCTGCTCGGCTACAAAAGTCTGCGCCTATCCCAACCGATCAAGAGGTCAAGGCATCCATCATCGGCCATCTTGAGACGTGGGCCGAAAAGTCTCATGCAGAGCTCCGCGACCAACTCGACGAAGCCTTTGCTGCCAAGAACTGGCACAAGCTGGCCTGGTGGAAGCTGCTCTGGCGCGTCGACGACATCACCATGATAAGCTCCGAGATGCTCGAACGGCGATGGCTCGTCTCCGCCGAGAAAAACAGCATCTACCTCGCAGGCCGCATGAAGCAAGCCGGCTACCCCGACGAGCTTCCCCGTCCTGCCGTCCCCAGCACCCCCGAGATCACAACGCCCGACACGGCGCCCACAGCAGAGAACCCACGAACCGACCTCTCAACCCGCGTCCGCAAAATCGTACCCTGGAACGAACAGATATCCACGGCCCGCACCGACCTCATCAACGACACAGTGCCCCCGCTCCAGGCCCTCGCCCAACGTCTGCTCCTCCAAACATTCAGCACCACATCCATTTCTTCAGCGGCATCCGCCCTCCTCTACCTCTCCGTCTCGTCCTTCTCCGTCTTCGAGGCCTCTGCCTTCGCCGCCCTCGGCCTCACTCTTTCGCTGCGCCGCATCCAGAAAACATGGGAGGCAACCCGCGAATCGTGGGAAACCACTATCCGCGAGGAAGGCCGACGTACGCTCAAGGAAACAGAGGAAAACGCTAGATCCATCATCCACCATGCGGAGAGAAGCCGTGTTCCCGAGCCAGAGGATGTTGCGCAGAGTAGAGCGGCGAGGGACGCCATCACGAGGGTTAGAGAGGCGCTTGAGCGCCGTGGTGGGTGAGCGCCGTGGCGATCAGGAGGAGAAATGGTGAGCCGTTGTATGATAGATGCATGAAATGGCATGGATGCATACATGTTTACGTGTACCATAGATGTGGAATTGAATTGAATTGAAATCAAATAAACTCGAATGTGGTTTGGCAGCTAAGATACATACAGTACACACATACATATATATATACACGGGAGTACATGGCAAAAAAAAAAAAAAAAAGTACAACTTTTCTTGCAAAACAAGTCTGACTAGAGTTAATGAATGGGTGAATGAATGAATGAATGAATGAATGTAAAAACCACATTTTTCTTCTTATATGTTCACACGCACAATGAATCAAGTACTCTCTCGAAACAGCACGCACAACAATACACTCACTCACTCACTCACTCACTTAGTGCAGACAGAATGAACAGCAGAGAGAAAAATAGAATAAAAGAGTGGAATTGGATTCAAGGCAGAGGATTCGTACTTGGCAAAGAGAATAAAGTAGAATAAATACAGTAATAGTAGTGACTGTGTCGAAAAAAACCACACCGAGTCGCAGAACAAAGGGCAAACGCAGCCCAAGTCGACACGTACATGGATATGGAAAATTTTCGCAATAGCAATT